AGAAATGCTGGTTTTAATTTTATTTATTTATTTATTTGAGATTAATGTGATAGCTATGACAAATCTCTAAGAAAACAAGGTCCTGTAATTTTGAAGACCATAGTTTTTTTTTATATTTATTCACATTTACAGCATTATTAGTTGAGGGTTGTAAATAAAAAATAAATTGAAATCATTTAAAAATACTTGGGAAGTAGTTGGTGAAGAGAGGAGTTTTAAAAAAAAAAAAGGCGTGATAATAATTTCTGTCTAAGATAGCATAGCCTGGTTCCACTTAGTGCCTTTTTCAATTTATTTTCTTATCGTCATGCCTAAAAGCTGTGAAAGCATTTTGGGCACAAAGCCACTGATGTATTCATGAGAGTACCTGTCGGGTACACACTTAGCAACTCCTCCTTTTAGTAATGTTGGAAGATTCAGTAGTTCCAGTCAACATTTTAGCACTTATGATGTAGTAATTAGACTCAAGTGTATACTAAGAAAAGACATTTTACTTTTACTTGCTCCTAGATCTGACTGGAGATGGCCTAACAAGGGAAACTTTTGGTTTGGGACAATGCTCAAAACACTGTGTACAAAGTGACGAAGTACGTGAAGTCCCTAGCCTCGAAACATTTGGGCACATGGTTAGTTTTACTTCCTGGAGTCAGGATATTAGGCACATGTATTTGCAAGATTCTGGTCCAAGAATATATGTAGATATATATAGTTTGATCATGAAGTCTTATCACAGTGTTGTGATTTGCTGTGTACATTGCAATATTTGAGAATTTAAATCTCTGTTGTAGGACAAGTACTAGTTTCAGTTCTTTTCCAGCTTGTTGCTTTCTCCTTCACTCACTTTTAACAACTGAACTTGGGGAAAATGCCTCATAAATTCAAGCTCCTGTATATTGCCATACTGCAACTAATCAGCAGCCACAGCTGCCGCCTAAAAATTTACACCTAGTCTTTGTGCTTTGAAGGAAAAGCTTGAAAACGTTCTAATGCAGCATAAAGTAGAGCTGTAAGGAGTTTTCTACAGATATTGTTTTCACCAGAAAGTATTGAGTTTAAATTGAGAAAGAAAGAATTAAGAAAGTAAGAAGTCATTGAGGAGTCTAAAATGTATGAAATAAAACCAAACAAACAAAAACTTAGGTATTTTAAGGGCAGGGGAGAGTTTGACAAATGCTGTTTAAAGACTTCCTTTTCTTCCAGGCTCTAATGTAGATTTTTTTGCACAATTCAGATGATGAATATTTCCATTTCTACTCTTAGTTTTTGTAACCAGGACAATCAACATAAAATCAGTGACCTGTTAAAGCCATAACTGTTATTCACTTGCTTCTCTTTGTGGCTGCTTCAGATGGACACAAATCCAAGATGCTTGTCTGCTGGTCAGCATTGGGAGTTCAAGCAAGATTTGTTCACGTCTTATGAACAAAATTAATTTTAAGTAGTGATACATTACAATTTCAGTGTTTCTAGAGTTGTATATGACATACCATATAAATATGGTTGGACTCGATTATCATTGTGGATCCCCTCCAACTTGGATATATTATGAATTATACTGGGAATTACTATACAAAAGTAATACCCAATAAGTGTGCCTTTTCACAGTGTCTTAGCTGGCTGCACTGCTCTGGCAGTGCAGTAAAATGGGGGATTGGTTTTCTTGGCTACGCAAAATGTCTTCAGTGCTTGTTCTTAATGAATCCATAGCTTGAATCTGCAGACAGCAAAGCAAAGAGCCTTGCAGGCCACTACTAGTAGTCTTCACTGTAATGTTGTCACTCCTATTACAATTCCACTGCCTGTTTTGCTGTACTAGCACAAACTGACAATTTAAGTCTGAGTCCTTACTTCCAAGTGGTAAAGGATATAAATAATTACAGATGTCATTATTTAGTGCTTTGACATGGTCAGGAATGGAGGCGAATCCAGGCCTGACTTCAGGGGTTAGTCAGCGCTTTTGTAGGCTATGCGAATGCAGCCATTCCTACCAGTACAAGTTGTACAATTTGTAGGCTTAGGTGGAAAAGGGCACCTCCTAAAATATAACAAATACTCAAATTACAGGTGAGATTGACTACCCATAACGGTGAGTCTTTCTAAGATGTTTTTACAGCCTCAAGCATGGGCATATGGATTTTTCAAAATGCTGCAGGCAGTGCAGAATTATACTTTCCAGTGCACCAACCCTAAATCATTGATATGGATTTACATGATGTTTAGTTATGTAGAAGTTGTATTTCATAAAATGTTTTGCAAAGGGAATATAAATTCATCATTTTTAATGTAAAATGCAAGTAAGCCATGAGCTTGAGGATTGCTAGGGAGAGAGCTGCTGGAGGGCTTTGGAGTTTCTAAAGAACTTTGAAATGTTCTAATCCATATGTTTAAGAAAAAAAAAGTTCATTGGTCTAGCTTTCAAAATTAAAGGAACATGTTCTACAAGTGATGGGGAGAGATGGGAAATTTTGGGTGACAGAGTTGACTAAGAGGATTATGGGGATATTCAAAGAGTGGCTGAGAATTGGTTCAGGATGGAGACAGAGTCATTTTATGAAATGAGTGGGAAATAAAAGACGAGGAAGCTGGCAATCAGTGGCAGAACAGTGAGTATTCCTTCTGAGTTATTTACCTATCTGAAATGTTTCAAATGTAATTAGCAATGCCTGCTAACTAGCAATAACAGGATTAAAACCTTTACATGGTTCAGTCATAAAGCAAGCAGTTCTTAATCCTGTACTTTGACTGACAATGATGGCTTTAAATGAAAGTTTTTCAATGCAGAGACTAGATGCTACAGGTATGTTCACCACTAAAAATATAAATGGCCTGAAAGGGGGGGGGAGGATTTCATTTTTTTGGTTTTTTTTTTTTTAGATTTTTTTAAGAGAATTTTATTATTTTAATAAAGAATTATAATTCTGATCTTCAAAAATTGATTATATTGAGCTCACTAGTTACAGAAGCTGAAATAAAATAGAATCATTTGATCAGGTCAGCTTTTTTGTAATCTTCTGAAAACAATTGCTTATGTAAGAAGAGATAGTCAACTGTAAGAAATCACTCCTTACTGAGCAGTGGCCAGTATAGTGGTTTCTATTACCCATACTATCTGTAATTTAGTCTGATATGAATATTTTTAGTTCACTTAAATAGCAGGTGCTTGGCTAAATTATTTTATTTTCAGGGGCTAAGCAATTAATCATGCCTTGTTATTACTTGTATTTGTTCCTTTTATCTCAGGAAAACAAAACAAAATATTTTTACTGTGGAAATATACAATGACAAGAAGTATTTGTCAATATTATTACAGAAGTTTGTTATTTCCAGAGTTCTCTAATCCTTGTTTTCTCTTGGCAATAATGCGGCATCATATGTCAACTATTTTTACTTTGGTTTTGAACTCACTGCAGAGTTTTGAATTTCTGACAAAAAATCATCCCAAGTCATCCTTGATTCACAGGAATCTTGAAAATCATTGCATTGCTCTTGGGATGAAAAAAAAATCAGCTTTCTGGCCATATGCCAGGAATCATGAAGTGGCTACTATTAAATATCAAGAAATGCCATTAGTTTGGGGACTCAAATAGAAATCTATTTCAGATGGTAATTTAGAAGAGGAGAGAGTAGCAGTAATAACGATCATAATACTTAATTCTCTGGTTAGTGTTTTCCCATAAGTCATTTATCATTGAAGTATGAGAGGATAATAAACGACTAGGCTTTTAAAATTTCTTTGGTGTAAGTAAGTTTACTTAATATTAGCTGTCCCTGAGATTCCATATGTCAGCATACGTTCATGAAATCATGGTACAAGAATTTTGTACTATGTGTTGTTTCTCTTGTGCTGCTAGCTGAATTTTCTAAGCGTGAATCAGGTTTGGTGTGTAATATGGGTATTAGGTTGGCTATGATTAAGCTCTGCATCTGTGGCCATTGCAATTTCACAGTAAATAAAAAAAAAAAAAAAAAAAAAGCAGCCCTGACATGGTTATAGCTGAAAGAAGAATCTAGTCATAGGCCTTGGCAACACTCACAAAATCAGGAAACTGAGGAATCAAAAGGTTTGCTAGCTGATAGTAGAAAGGTGGTGATACAGCTGAGTGTGCAATTCACCTGAGTGTGCAGAATTACCATGTAATAAACCATCCTTCATCACTGCATTGTTCATTTTGAGAAAATCATTGACTTTTTTTGTCATCCTTATGTTCCTTCCTAGTCATACCTTCTCTTTATATTTCTCTGATTTCAATTCATTGTGGAGCTTAGAGCTTAGTCTCAAAAAATGAGTAAACTTTCCCGTTAGTAGGGGAAGTTTGAGAAAGAGACAAGAGACAAGGCTGAGAAATATCAGTGGATGTTTCAGAGGAAAGGACATCTATTCTGTCACTTGCAGGAAAAAGAGGAGAAGTCTGCACTTCAAAGTAAAGTGCATTTTTGTAGCACAATTGAAGTAAAACATTTGTGTATCACAGTTGGAAGCTGTGTCAGGAAGTTGAGAGGAGTTAACAGCAGTGTGCAATTTACTTTTGATTTTTTCAGTAAGTTTCCACACGATAATCTGGTGCAACTTAACATTTATTATATATGTACTGTGCTGCATGTACTTGCAGAACTGTGTCTAATTTCTTGGCTAGAAAGACAGAAGATTTTATTAGATAAAGTAGAATTAATGGAAAATTTTTATTCAGCTGTTATACAACTTGCCTCCTGTATGATTCTGAGGAATGTAATAATGTTTCTTAAAGTTAATAAAAACATCTTAACTGGGAAAATAATTTCAAAGGAAGAATTTGGCCTGGCATAACTATTAAAAGTTTGCTTAGTTTGTCCAAATTGATAATAAAAGGAAATACAAAGTCAGAGTCAGAGGAAGCTCATGATGAATTATTCTGTAGTCTGTTCTAAGCCTGAAGAAATTGCATATTGCTTGCTGAACATTAATTTATATCTACCAAAATGTTGTTTTTTTTTTTTCTCTACATGCCTCTTACCTCATCCAGATTTATATTTTTGAAAATAACATCTACTATCAGCCTGATGTAAAGAGTAGCTCATTGCGCCTGACATCTTCGGGAAAAGAAGGAATTATTTTTAATGGAATTGCAGACTGGTTATATGAAGGTAAGATGTACAAATATTTAATGTTTATTAAAACAGATGAGAGGTTCTTGTGCAGACCCTACAGCACAAATCCATTCATTCCAGAAAATGCTTTCTAAGGTTGCTTTTGCTTCTTTGACTTTTCATTTTCTTGCAAGATTGCCTTTGTATCTGTTCATTCTTTGTATCAACTGGTGTTTTGCATATAACAATATTTTATGAGAAAGAGGAATTTATTTTTGAATAAATGAATAAAATTATGAATACTAGGTAGTATGTAAAAATGTTTTAGTAATGAAATCTCAATGTGTTGAAAACAGTGTTTTTTTACTACTGACTTCAGTGGGTCTGGCATTCCAAATAGAGCTAGTCAAGTAAAACTAAACACCTGAATGTTTTTCTTATCTAGAATAACTCCATTCATAGCTTTGGAGCTATTCTGGGTTTGTAACACAGGTAAGGAGGGGAAGGACTCAGTTTGTTGCTTGTATGAAAAACAGTGCTGATCCATTTACATTTAAAACATCCTAGAAAAAGACACAGAAGAATCATAGCATAGAATTGGCGGTGTTCTTTCTTTCCTGCTGGACATAGCATAGACCTCTTCACATGTACTTGGGTTCATTTTTACCTATGAACATAGTGATATGTAGGTCATACCTGGCTGATTTTCAGCAAGGCCACAAGCTTGCTGATATTCACAATTCATTCTCTGCTGGTTTTCTGTGTAAAAGGCTTTACTTATTGAGTCAGGGAACAGAGAAGCATGACCCAGAATGTATGGCTTTGAAGATAGGTCCCAGCTAAATTACAACTAACCCTAGATACTTCAACCCATTCAGACACTTCAAACCTTTCAGGATCTGATTTGCATCTTGGAGAGTCTCTACTGACATTTTAACATTTTAAGTATTTTTTGTAGGTATGGAGCCAGGCCTCTGATCTGGTTAGTATGTTATTCTCAATTAGCTTTCCAGACAAATTCTTAAAATCTGAATACAAAATGCTCACACACACACACACACACACAAAAATCAAATACATTGCAAAAATATCCAAGTCTTTTCATAAACGGAAGACAGAAGACCTGCACAGGGTGATTTGGTGTTGGTTGGGAGATGTTGTATTAGAATCCCTGGAGTTTGGGTGCTGATTCTATGGCTGTTTCTCTTTTGTTTTTCTTTATTATGAAATACAATGGCAATAAATGTAAGGAAATGCTGCATGGCATTTTAAAGAATGACTTTAATTTGGCAATCAAATACAAGTTGGATTTTTTTTTTTTTTAAAAAAGGAGATTTTTGATTTTCAAAAAGTTATATTGCAAAAATACCAAAAATATTGAACTGTCTAAGAATTAAAACTGAGGTAAAAAGACAAAAATATTGCACTTCAAAAGTTATTACATAAATACAGGATGAGAAGATATGAAGGTACCCAGCTGCCACAGCTCAGAGAAATCAGGTATAATAAAATTTCAGTTACAACAGTTAGAGTCATCTTTCATGTTTACATTGATGTCAATGAAAGTATTAATTTGAGTAAGGTGGTTGAAATGTGGTATTTTGATATGCCTTTATCCAAACATTCATCCAGGACAATGTGAAACTGCTGAAATTGCAACAGATACATTTGAACTAGGCAGAGAAAGAAGGAATCAATGGTAACTGAATGAGCTGGGAACTTTGTGGTAGTTATTGTTACAGACCCTAAGGAGATCTGTTTTTGCAGAGGAACTTCTTCATTCTCATATTGCCCACTGGTGGTCTCCAGATGGTGAAAGACTAGCATTCTTGACCATAAATGACTCTCTGGTGCCAAACATGGTTATTCCCCGGTTTACTGGAGGCCTATATCCAAAAGGAAAGCAGTATCCATACCCTAAGGTAAGATGAGTGAGTGCAGCTCCCACCTCCTGTTTTTTGTTCTGTGATAGTATTCAACCATACAGAAGGAGTATTTCTAGAGAATAACAGAAGCTGAATTGGTTTTCAGGAAATATTAATTATGTGTGTTTTTTTTTTTTCTTTTTCCAGTAGGCTTGTAACACTTTTTGCTGTAAAGAAACTATTGGGTGAGGAAGCAGCAGACAGACTGATTCATAGCAATTCCATCACTGATGCATGGTAAAATCAATGCACCACTTCTGAGAGCAGAGTAAAATGTTTGAAGAACTGCACAGAAAAATAAATACTGTCACAACTGCATTGGAGTCACACACACTGTGTGCAAAGTACAGCACAAATTCTGCTGCAGTTATATAGATCTCACTAAATTATGCTACTATTAATAAATGCAAAAGAGTGGCTTTGGATAAAATAAGCCACAATAACATTTTTTTTTTCTGGCCATCAAATTAAAACAAACAAAAATGAAAAACCCATCACTGAGTTTCAGAACAATTAGGGAAAGATTTTTTGATTTGTGTTGGGAAAAGACAGAAGAGCTCAGGCAGGGAAATTGCTTCTCATTTTCTGGGGATTTTCTGATCAGCTGCTTCCCTAACCATAATTTCTGTGTTAAGTACCAATGTTGATATTATTTTCCAACTTACCAGTTTGTCCATATTTTGCATGCAATTTCAGAGTGCCTGAGTACCTTTCTGATGGTATATGTAGGTCTGTGTGTGTCAAAGTTTCCTTTGACATTTCAAGGAAAGTTCATTGAGGAATTTAGATAATATTATTGTTACCCTATTCTGCTACCACATTTTGGAGATGAACCTTTGTTCTTAAGGAGTGGAAAGGTAGACTGTAGCAGGTATTATGAAAAAATAGCATGTATAAATATAATGTGTGCTGTGAAATAATACTCTGAAATAAAGAACTAATGGTGTTTGCAGAGGTAGTTGATATGGTTTCATAGATAAAAGCCTTGAGTGACAGAGAAAAGAAAAAAGGAAGGAATATTTTAAAAAATGAGCTTTGTAAACAAGAAATGAGAAATTGCATTTCATTAGCAATTCAGCATAAAAGTGATACACTACTATCTCAGTAATCTCATTAATGAAAAAAACATTATCTTTATTTAATGTCTCAATTTAATGCCAATCTAGCTACACATTAAACACCATTAATTGGCAATGAATTTTGTGGTAGAGCTACATAGATGAAAAAAGTTGGGTCTTTATTATAAAATGAAACCATCAGAGAAAGTTATAACTATGATTAAAAAATAAAATGAAACCCATATGTGTTTGTGAGTACTGAAATACGTAGCTGTGTGTACATGTCCAAATACCCAGACTGTGTTCTTAAAAAAAAAATAAATAATGAGAAAGGAAGTTTATATTTTGTATAATCTGCATACACCAGAACAAAGTGGGGTTTCAGTTTAGAGTTCTTTCACTTCTGAACAATTTATTATTATTGTTGTTGTTGTTATTATTATTATTATTACACAATGTCTATGCAATTTAGATTGCTGAGAGGCCGTTCATTGTAGAGGGAGAGGTGTGAATCTGAGAGTTGGCTGCTCGGGTAGGACAACTACCTTCAGCTGCTTGAGTCCATTGCATGCTGCAAAGGGTGGTGCTGAGTGGACCTCTGATGGGCAGTCCCATGCCACAGCCACCCAGTGCCACAGCTGGACCAGGCTTCAGTGTTTCATGCCCAGGATCTGGTCATGCCCACTCATACTCATACAGGAGATGTACAAACAATGTACAGTTCAAATGATACAAGGAGGTAGCAGTTGTGTAGGAAGGACTTGATGTCAGTGGTTTTCTTCCACAGCTTTGCATCTGTATAAGCTGCTTTCATGTGGAGGATGGCTTTGAAAGACCATGTTTCTTTCAGGCAAATTTTAAAGTTTTTATGGATGAAAGTCCAGGAGTCTAGTTAAATCCATTTTCTAAATTTTTCTAAGCACTAGAAAAAATACACATATGTCACTTTCTTCTCCCCCATACCACTCAGAAATAAGTGTACACAGCATTCAGACCGTGTATATTTTGAGAAAAGTCCACTTTCTAAAGGAAACGTGTGGGTATATTTCAACCAGGCACTCTTCCATTTCTAAATATCCCTGTGAAGTGTATGACATACAGCTTTGTAGGTTATTATGATTAAATATGATTACCTTCCCTTTCAATATTAACAACTTGTTTCCATTGAAGCACACACTTGTCATTCCCCCATATCCCAAGGAGGCAACGTAGTTGTGTGACTCCTGTGTCTTACGCAAAAAAGAAGCTTGAGTGGCAGATGTAGGACTAGCAGTATATTCTTACCAGCCCTGCAGTGCCTTGCTTTCTGTCGCCAGTCCTTTCTCTTCATCTCAAGAACTGCTTAGTAACAATCTGTGTTACTGGGAGAAGGATGAGTCCTGGCTTCCTATAGATCCTCAGGATTTATCAGGCTCTTCCTGGTGGATATATATCAAACTGCCATTTTATTCTCCTTTAGCAACAAGTGTTTTGTTTCTCTTAGAGCTAGCTTGCCAAAACAACAGGGTCCTGAACAGTACCAAAACCAGAAATTTTCTTCTCAACAAGCCAGGGAAGGAAGTCCTGGGGAAACTGATAATGAAAGAGATGGAGGAAGAGAAGGGATGTTATCTCAAATGGAAGTAGAGTAGCCTTTTGGAAAAAGAGCAATAGGGGTTGGAAAACGCTTTGCTGCAGACTGGCTCTGACTGCTCTGACTGCTTTAGGAGCTGGCTATTCTTGCAGCTGACTTTAAAGAACTGGGTCAAACTACTTTCAGCATTGTTCCCTTGCTCTGCACCAGAAGGTCAGAAGATCTGCCGAAGTAAAAGGGCAGTGAGAGAACGATGCAATTAATACTTCACATTTTTATCTATGTAATTTGTATGGCTGTGATTTTTTATTTTCAGAGCTTTCTCTTTATTGTAAACATACTTTATTATGTTAATGACTGAACCTATTTAGCTGTCACTTTTTCAGTGCCACTAAAGCCCCTATTTTTATTTATTCTTTTCAAAGGCAGGTCAAACAAACCCAACAGTAAAGCTCTTTGTAGTTAATCTGTATGGACCAGCACATACACTGGAACTGATGCCACCTGACAGCTTTAAATCAAGGTATTTAATTTCATTGTTTAGTGGAATTTGGGTTTAATTTAACGTGACTCAGGCTAATTGTTGCCTTTTTACTTCAGCACAACACTTACCTGAAATGCACTTGATCTCTGTTCTCGTGACTGGACGTAATGATGGTGAAATAAAATACAAATGTATTGGATTGATGCTCCTCTTAGAAAACTCAGGGACCTGGAATTTGCTCACTTCTGATGTTGAAGCTTAAATTCTCTTGAAATATATGAAATTAGGAATCTGAAGATATTGCCAAAGGCTCTGAATGCTGCCCTGGTTCTGAACTTGTCATAGCATTTTCCTTTACTTGCTGCATGACAGCTTGTTGCTTTCAGTTTGTGAAACGGAATTGCAGAATGTAGAATTGTACCACAGAACACATAATCAGGATGTTCTGTCATTTAGAGAGGAATATTCTGAAATTTTAAAGTCTGATAGATTATGGAAAGTTTAGTTTCACCCTACAACTGACGGATGCAGGGAGGTGGTAGAGGGTGAGATGCAATGCCACCAGGTAGACTAAAAGAAGGCCTATGCTGTGCCTGTGCTTGATAGTGTGGTCATCAGGAGAAACTGAGCTTCAGAGCACTTGTAAAGAGGTCTATCTGTAAATGGTAACTCTCCTGCTAAAGTAACTATCTCAAACTGAGCTCCTGGTTACCTGTCCTCATTTGAGATCCCTTGAAACTTTTCTTTAAAGGCAAAAAAATTCATCCTTTCCCTTAGGCATATTCCAATTTGTAGAATTGCAAAGATCTTGATGAAATTCCCATTGTGGTTTCAGTGCACATGCTAATGATCTTCTAGCCCTAACCTGTTATACAATAGCAATAATCCAAGAGGTGCTATAGTCCAGGTACAGCTGAGATCTAAGGGCAGGGGAAGTACCACTTCCTCTCCTCTCTCCGGGCATTGGGGCATTTTCAGGTGGAGAAGAAAAAGAAATAAGAAAGATTGTCCATCATGAAAATGAGTGGTCAACGCTAGCTAAACAGAACAACAACAACAAAAAACCCACATCTCTGTATGTTGTTGTTCTTGTAGTTCCTACAAAAAAAAAAAAAGAAAAAAGATTTTACAGTAACTGTTCCCAAAACAATCAGGATGGTAATGGTGGTTCCTGATTCACAAGGATTGCCACCAATTTTAAGCTGGTTTAGCTCTCTTCTGCACAAATTGAGGCATCCAAACAGTGCAGGAATAATACAGTAGTGAATTATGTCTTGCAATTATTTATGTCAGCTAGAATGCTTACTGATTGTGCTAGTAAAAGGAACTATTTTGAGTGCACTGTGCATTTTGAAGTATTTTCTTTCTGTTGATGCACTACTGCTGAAAAACAGAATAAAATCTGCTGTTTGCTAACACCTCATTAATTAAAGTGCTAGTATAAGATTTGAAAGAGATTCTCTGCTACCAAGGTTAGCCTCTTCACTCTCTTAAACAGCATTAAAATGGTACTTTAAATGTCAGAAGATATGAAGTGAAATGAGAAAGCAGTATGTAAATCCCCAAGGAAAAAAATAATCTTGAAAATATGATGGTTTCACTTTACATTTTTCAGATTCATTCTTGCTCTCTAACGCATTGAAAATAAAAGTAAAATTAAAAAAAAAATAAAAATTAATTTAAAAAATTAAAAAAATAAAATTAATATTGATATCTTAAAACCTTTTTTGCATCTTGAAATTGAACACTATCTCAGTTTATGGAATTTCTGGTGTGAGCCTGACAGGGCTTCTTCACCAGATTTTTGAGTCCTTGATAAAGGTATTGCAGCAGTTTAATTTAAATAATACTCATATTCTCTGCTCTCTCTGATATGCTCCTTTAAATGTCAGTATTGCTGCTTTGTCAGAAGGCTCAGTAAAACTATTTAAACCTGGAAAAAATGAGTTGTATCTTCATTTTAGCAATCTAGGTATAACTCCTGTTCTATAAAATTTAGAAAAATAGGTGCAAGCTATTATTATACTGCCAGTTTTGCATTTTGGCTCTGGATTTGAGTAACTCCGTCAGGTCATCACAGTATATACATGTATGCCAGTATGAGGAGTGACCTTTGAACAGACCTTTCTAAAGTGGAAATCTTTGGACTCCATAATGGTTGGGAGAATTTTTTGAAGTATTAGCTTTTTAAATGAAAGTAGTAACTACTTTCAGTGGTCTTTTTTTTTTTTTTTTTTTCCCTCCCTCACTGCCTTTCTAATAAATTCATTGTAGAGTCTTTAGGAAGTAAGCAATAGGAACTTTTTGCAATCAAATGGAAGAGAACACTATCATTATTAGCTTTGTGGATCTTTCAGGGTAGACACATTTTGGAAACACATAATGCACGAATCACCACCAACTGCTATTATACTACAACTCAGAGAAACAACACAAATGGGGGCTTCTGTTATTTAAAACCTTAAAAAGTAACAGATCTGTCCAAACTGTGGCAAAATTTTAAATTTATTCCTTTAAGTTTTATTTTGTGGAGAAATTTATTCAACTGTGCACTTATAATATCACAAAAAGATTGTCAGCCTTTCTTTTAACATGTGGTTGTATTCTGTGCAATTTCAGTTATCCCTTTGGTATTTCTATTCCATGTGTACAATTATGTTATGTTTTCTTCAGTAGCAAACATGATTTTGTACTGCATTAGTGCTAGAAAGCCAATATAGAAATGAAGTGAAATTTGTGTGTCTTCATACACCACTAGCTCCTGAAGTTCCAGTTGGAAAGCTAATACTTTCTGCAACAAAAAAAACCACTCTGGTGTGCAAGAGGTCAGTTCAAACCACTGTAATTTAGGACACCTGAAGAATCTTAGTAACTGATGATATTTAGATAAAAGGTTGATATTATGATATTAAGAAATTATATAGGATAATTTTTCAAACCCCATGCTAGATTTTAGACCCATTGAGAAGAAAAATATATTTCTTTTTACAAAGTGTAAATCACTAATACAGAGAAAATGTGAAATACCACATTAAAGAACGTAGTTGATTTACTGGATTACAACTGTGCCTCCACACATGATGAGAAGATTTCTCTGCTAGAACTGTGCATTGGCTCTCAAAAGTCTCAGTGTGGAGGTCATCCACTGTTTACTTTCTCTGTTCTCAGCCACTGTGAGCAAACTGCATTGGCTCTGCAGTATTCCCAGACACTGCTGACCATGACATTTTAAAAGGCACTTTAAGAAATTAAGTTAGTCCTTTTTATTATTTTTTCCAGTAAAGTTTCAAAGCCTAAAAATATGGTAGATGATTCTGATTCCGTATATTCCATTTTGAAAGAGACTGTAATATACAGTCAGACCCTTTGGATTTTGTATGACAAATTTTGAATATTTTAATTGATTTTTAATTAATATTTTATAATGGAATTTTATACACTTAATAAATTGGGCTTACATAAATAACAGTCTTCCAACCCTCACTGTTTTTTTCTTTTTTTTTCTGTATTTATGCATTTCTAAATCTACAAAATTATTTGCGTATTTATGTACTTCTATTAGAAATCAGCTTATGAATCCCTAAAGGTTTTTATATTTCTGCCAGCCTTGCTATTGAAAAGAAAGCTTATTTGATTCTAACTTCAGGTGGGAAAGATGGAATGGGGCAATTTGTTATTAAAACAAAACAAAACAGTGTTTTGTTTTCACTTTTTCTTAGATATGCTGTCTAGTCACTTCTTTCAAAATTCTTTCCCTCCTTTCTTCTGTAGCAATAACAATACCTACCTCACAAGGTTAATGTAAAGGATTAATTCACTACCATACCTTTTAGCAAATGGCTCTAATATATTCAGCCAAAGGCTGCAAGATAAAAGTATATTCACAGGCTTTTTTTATTGAAGCTTTCCCATGCAGTGCCAAGGTATTTATTGATTATTCCATTTCCCGTTCAGTGGAAAGAAATGCAAGCTCTGTACATGGGGCGGAGAAGGCCCACCACTTACAAGTGAAAGGACACGTGTTGAGCACTCTTGAGTGATGCTAAATGTTTTAGCAAACTGCTCAGCTATCTCCCTAGAACTGTGATTATCTCAGTTGAGATAATAAAAATAAATGAAAAACATTCTATAAGAAAAATGATTAAAAAAATAAAATAATTGGGACTTCAGTTTTGGCAAATGCTGATAAACACTTTTGATATCTAACATGCTTTTTATCAGTACTGAAAAATGAGTCCAGATTTCACCACGTTACAAGTCTTCAAAAAAATTTTAATTGTCATACGGTAAGGAAAAGCATTTGCTTTCTTAGCAGCTACAGTTGGAGATTTTTCTCTCACTGAATAAACTCCATTCCCTTCAGGCCCCAAGAGGTCACCTGTCTTGGTGCTGCAGCACCTCCACGGCACTTGTGAGATGTTCCAGCTCCTCCTGTTGCACTGGCTGTATACATTCTATGTTCCTGTTTCCTAAGGGAAAGCTGTATTTTCTTTAGATTGCTTGTTTTATCTGATTGCCTTAGGCTAATTTGAAGCCAAGCAACAGATTTAGATATAAAATGTGGAATTTTATATCTATTTATAAAATAGGAGTATCTCTCAGTCTGATCAAGGAGTTTTGAAGCTCTTGTTTTTATGCATCGCCTGATTAAACCCAACTTGCAATAAAGTGAGTCCTGTACAACCTCCATCATTACTGACTGATCAGTCTGACTTGAGATATGCTCCTGAAGAGGAATGGAAGTTGTGCTTTGAACATGCAAAGTACTGTAAAGCACCTAGTTAAATGGTTTCAGACTGAGAATCTAGTGTAGTGTTTATTTCATGATTTGCTTCAGTCCTTCGTCCTGAAAGAATAGTCTCTTTAAAGTGATGTTGTGAGGAAACTTTGTATATGTACAAATGCAGAGGATCTAGATCTGGTAATCCCTGTCCATTTGTGTATTTGAGCTTTGAGGGAAAGAGAGAGAGAGCTTATTTTCATTACTAGAACAATAGATTAGTTGAAAACAACCTAATAAGTTTGGAGATACAGACAGATAGCAGCTTCCTCAGAACTAAGACAGGTTTTGTCCTGAAGGCTTCTCTGTTTCTATTCAACTGTAGCAGTCAGTCTAATAAAACATACGATTTTTTGCTACAGAGTTTAACAAGGTTATATCTACTGATGGGCAACAACACCACTGCTTTGTATGTATACGCACACTGTGTTTATGAAACAAGTTAAGTGGAAATTTGTGAATTATAAAGGAATACTACCTGGAGGCAGTATTTAATTTCAGTAGGATGTGTTTTGTTACATATATATATACACCGTACTACACTCCTGATAAACCAAGTCCGAATTTATTGACATTTGAACACATTTGTATGCAGAGTTGATGAGAGGGGAGAAAAAAAAAAAAGAAAAAGATTTTTTAAATGATCTTTTGCTTTCACTTCAGTGATCATGGAGTTTATGTAAGTGATGGAAGATGATGTTATGGTTTGATTTAGCCAATTAATTACTATATCAGCTGCATTCTGAATGATTAAATCTCCTGTTTCCTTCCCTCCTTGCAGACTTTTTTGAATGGAACAGCTCAGGCTCTGTTTTGTAAAATTTGGTTCTGGGATAATTCAGGCACTGGGGTCAGTGGATGCTGTTTACCTTGTGGATGCTGTCAGTGGTACTGAAGTACAGGGAGAGAAAGGCAGTTCTTAAAATACATGAAAATATCTGTTTTGAACATATTGTTTTGGCTGTCTTCAGGCTTCTGTACGCAGTGTCACCGGCCTTATGTAGGTGTAACTGCAGAGGGGGAAGGAGGCAGATACTTCATACCATTAGCCCCTACCTAGGAAATCTCTCTTGCTTCACCACAGGCCTGGAGGGACAATTTGTTTGATATTACGAGCAGTTTGATAAAATGGAAGCTGACACGCATGGATATTTAGTGAGACTTTGTTTTCTGTGGAGGTTTCATAATAAAATACTTATTATTTTATATCATGACATTTTAAAGTGATCTCATCTGTCCATTACAGACCTTTTTTTTTTTTTTTTTTTTTTTGGACCATATTCTTTTGCAAAAACATGTATATTCTGAAGCAATTTTGAAAATACTGTTTTCTGTTGGAATTCAGTGTTGCTTTTTAAGCTGGCCAACAAGTACACAGCTTATGTGTGTTTGCAGACATATGTTACACAAATGTCTGAGAAGGAGGTGCTAACAGACTACAAATATCCCACAGGAACAGAATACTAGGATTGAGCATTCCTGCATATTGCCTCCAGGAACACAGATGGTGGTCTTTTTCTTTCATTTTCTTTTTTTTTTGTTTTTATCTCCACCCCTTGGTACTGATACTGTCATGCAGTGCAAATACATCCATACTTTTTTTTTTTCAGTATTCGGTGAACTATGTATCTTTTTTACTGTCTAATCTGAAATAGGATTGATCTGAACATTTTGTTTTCATTGTTTACTCAGAGAATATTACATCACCATGGTGAAATGGGTAAGCAACACTAAGGCTGTGGTCAGATGGTTAAACAGACCTCAGAATATCTCTATCCTTACAGTCTGCGAAACAACAACTGGGGCTTGCAGCAGGGTAAGTCAGGTTTCTTCCCAAACTTTCTTTTCAAAGTTTCTTCTTGCATTTTGTTTTCATGTTCAGAAAAAGATTTTTGGAAATCAGTTTGCAGATGCCATAGTTGCAAGCTGAATGTAATTAGTCAACAGAGAGGAAATAGAGATGTGAGAAAATTCCAAATCTGGTGAAATGATTTTATGCAATTAACAACTTTGAGTGACATTTTCAGAACTACTGAAGCTCTGTTCATTCATTAACTTCATCGGAAACTGCAGTTGCTGAGCATCATGTACTATGAATATATCTAGTGCAGTGGCAAGCTTGTCTTCCTTCAGATATTTTCATGCCGCCTGATTTCTGCTTTCTTCCCTTATAGAGTTTCATCTCAGATCTTTCTGTCTCTCACAACTTACATACATTTAAGGAAAACATGTAAAATGTTGATAATTCCTGCAAATTCAACAGCAGAATTAAATAACTAGAAAAAAAATAAAATGGAAAAGCAACAGGGATATTTCAGTTTTGAGAGCCAAGCTGAAATATGTTTTTTGCTGTTAGAGTTCAGCCTCATCACATCCTTTGTCCCAGACTTTGACATCTGACAATCCTGCAGTACATCTCTCCATTTTCACAGTCACTCTTGCATATTGAGTGCAGCAGGGCACTTTCCCATTCTGAGTCATGGTCTCTTCCCTGAACCAGCTAAAAGTAGAAATATTGCCTATCCATGCTAATATCAGTAACAACAGATGCTCCAAAGTAGAGGGTATAATTTGGAAGTGTAGATGCTTATGAGTCATTAATGTAGGTCTGTCTGGCCTCTGAGTCAAAAGGCTCTTATCTGTGTGCCACTGAAGTAAATTGTGTTAAAGCGTTAGAGATCATTTCTAAGCTTGTTGCTTGTATGCAATGTTGTTGCAACATGCAGGTTGCTTTTCCTGACTCAGAAACTGATCATTAGTCCCCAGACCACGGGTTAAGGTTGTGAACATGGATATTTGTTGATTGGATTGCTGCCTGGTTCCTGTGAGTCTTCTGTCCTTTATTTATTTATCTACTTTTTAAGAAAGTCAGTTTAAGAAAGTGCTTTAAGCGAATCACTGTGAGCAGTTGTTTCTGAAAGGAAACCCTTATGTGCTCCAAGGTCAATTGGATTTATCTGAAGTAGGTATCCAGGGAGCTGTAATCCAGGACATAATATAAGAGAGAGGGATAGAGAAATTCCACTCCAGAAGAAATAAAGTGCAGAGAAGGGCCTTAGAGGTGGGTGAGTAAGGCCAGCAGTGCAGTGAGCACAGCTCAGACAGGGCTTGTGTTTGTAACCCTGGGCTGTGCTAATGCGGCATCCACTAGGATACGGTGATGCTTCTGAACTCAGTAACGGATAACTAAAGGCCATAATGTGGAATTATAGCCTTCTATCATGCCACTTGATTTCAACTCTAAACATTTCTAAACTTTTTCTTCAACTGTAAACCCTTTTAAAATCATTTTGCATGTTCTCAATTCAAAAAAATGCTTTATAAAAACAGTTGTTGTAGTAGCCACAGCTTTTTCATTTTTTAGGCCATGTATGTACAGATGCTTCTGTAGCTAATAAATGTTCATTACTTCAGTGTGACTGTGACAATTTACAACGTTTGACATACATTCTACATTTTTTCCAACATGTACATGTTATTGTTTTTTAAGATTGCATGATTTGAAATATGAGCATGACCAATAAAAAAAAAATCATTTTTTTCCTCGTCACTGACACCAAACTACAAGCCATTAAAACAGGGGATTGTGATTTGAAAAGGTCTTGCACTTTGAGTTTTATGCTGGCTGTTTGCCCAGTGTTGATGAAGAACCTAAAATATATCCAGTTGTCAGATGATGCCTAGAGGTAAAGAACAAATAGGACTGCATGCATAAAGCTTCTTGGTAGCTAATCAAAAAGGATTGAAAAAGGCATTCTTAGGTCCCCTGTGGTGTTCTACCAAAAACCCAGAATAAAGCAGCTGACTTTGTAATTAAATTATCATTCAGTTCTATGTAAGTGCCAAAGAAGAGATGTGAAGATTGTAACACAGTAGGGGAAAAAAAAAGAAATAGTTAAAGACCTTTTGCTGAATGTGTGAAATATTTTGGGGCCATTTCATAAAAGCCATTTTTTCTCTTATAGAAATATGAAATGCAGTCAGACCTGTGGCTTCCTAAACAGGTATGATGTAAATGCTGTTTCTGTGTGTATAATGTATAATTCACAAAATCAGTGAATGGTTGAGGTTGGAAGGGACCTCTCAAGATAATCTAGTCCAATTTCCTGCCAAGATAGATGAAACAAATCCTTTTCAACACATCCTATATGCTCTGCTGATATTTTGTTATCATTGTTGTTGGTGGTGGTCTTTTATTTTATTGTTATTACTTTATCAAATTAAGCACAAAGGAGTTCAAAGATTAGAGGTCACACTACAAGTGGAAAAAAATGGGAATATTTCTAAATTCATACCCAGAACAATATGTTGAGCTAATATGTCAGTAAATGGTTCCATTTTCATAGCTTCAGAAGAGTCACCCAATAAATAGATGAAATACATTCTATTTAAAATACATTTCAGGCATCATTTTGCAGTGTGCAAATGAGAAATCATTTTTTAAAAAATCTGTGCTTTTATAGAAAGCAGTTTTCCTTTAATACTTCTGTGTAAAGTTACACATGGAAAAATGGTATCACATCAGACTACAATTTGTGGTAAGGCCACGATTCAGAATACCACTTCAATGTGCATATATTTTTTTTCATATAACTTTATCAAAACTAATGAGTCTTCAGTGTGTACTTGGTAAAGTTTTTCTGAGCCCAGGCACTGGAAACATTTATTCTTTTCATCTGTAGTAGGATTTATTTCTGTCATTGATTGCATGCCTGTAAGAGAATGTGTCCTAGGAAATCGCAATGCATTAGGGATGAGACTACCAGAACTTTTACTGGAAACTCAATAGTAACTACCTGCATGTGCTACATGTAGCTGTAGCCACCATATATATATTTGGTTTTGGTTTGTTTTTAATCTTAGCAGAATATATTTAATATCTAAGGATTTTTTTTCCATTTGTCTTAAGAACATGGCAAACAACAAAAAAACAACATCAAGAAACTCAGTGATGTTTTCTTAAAACGTGTAATGGAAAGCAGGATGAAATAAAGCAATCTTATATTTACAGAATGAAGAACCAGTTTTCTCTAGGGATGGCAGTAAATTCTTCATGACTGTGCCAGTGAAGCAGGGAGGCCGGGGTGAATTTCACCACATAGCCATGTTTCTAGTTCAGGTAAGTTTTTGGTTATTTTTAATATCCCAGAGGTTATGTGGGACTCTTACTGTGAACATCAGACCCAAGCAAAGACTTCGTACTTCAGTAGTCTCAAGATTGGTTTTGTGGATGTATGTGGTCATGTATCCTGTCCAGATTGCTACTCTGTGCAGTACTTCTTGCAGAATTAGTGGAGTTCTTTCTCTTTCCTTACAGATGTGCTATGGTGGCATGTAAGATCTGTAAATTAGAGGTACTTCCAAAGTATTCTCTTTGGAATGTTTCATGTTTTGTTTGTGCCTCTATAGCCAAGAAGAGATGTTTTCTTGATAAACTTGTCTGTCAGTACTAATGTTTGATAGCCACAGAAATTCAAGAGACCTGCAGAAGTACTTTTTTTTTTTAACCCTCTTTCTATACATTATAAACATATATGTATAATTTTAAATTTTGGTCGGGAATATTCAGAATTCTGGCTGTGCACAAACAAGAAAGGGAAACAATACCAAAAACTTATAATGCTGCAAAAATTAGGACCCTTTTATTACCCATCTCAATATTTTCCAGTGGCTTCCACTTCTCAGGGCCACTGCTTCTCCAAAGAATCTGAAAGAAGATACATTTGTACTGTGACTTTGAAGGTCACTGGCATGAAGTTGTGATGACCTAATAAAGGAAATTATGCCCTGGAACAGAACACCCCAAGGCATCTATTTAAATCAGCAGAGCATTAATTCAGGTGCTTTAGCAGACCCATATGACACAGGAGGGATTATCAAGATACCCAAAACATCAAAACAGCAGACTTGGCACCCGGCAACTCTATTATCTCCCTTTATGACAATGTTCTGGTGTGAACATTATTAAGTCTGAAATATGTTCACAGCATACTGCAGACAGCAAAAGAACCTTAACGGAATTTTAACCTGAAGAACCAAGAAGATACTCATTCACTAGAGTAAATATATTGAGGAAGAATCAGAGAACAAAAAAGGGATCAAAGACGTGTCAAATTCTGTCTTCTAAAGAAAACAGTAACTCAGATGAGAATTGGGTAAAGGTGTATTAAAGGAATACAAAGTTCTCACCAGAACAAAGCAATTTAGTCAATTGGTCATATTTTGGCTTCATTCCAAATATTATGAATAAGTATCTTTAAAAAAAAAAAAAAAAACATATATATATATATATGTATATATATATATATATATCTGATAAAAAAAAAAATTCAGTATTCCCAAGGATGTTACAGATACAATAAAATTTTCCTTAAACTTGTATGCTGTGACATTTTTACTACTAAAGAACCCAGGAAACTTGATGCTCATTTGTGAAAACATTTAAACAAAAGATTAAGCCAACTCATACAATAAGATAATTAAAAGTACACATACTTTTAAATGTATGTTTTAGTACCTCTACAATAATGTTTAATGTCAGGCTTATGATTAGGAGTTTAGTATTCTATCCCTGGTAGGCAGAATTACAGCCCTGAGTCCTGTGCAGCTCCAAAAATAATTTAAAAAACTTTATATTTTGACTACTATAATCATGAATAAACAAGTCTAAATGGTACCACGTATGTCAAATTTGTATTTAAGTATATAGCTGCTCCTAGGAAGGCAAGGAAATGTGATATCTCAGGCAGCAACCATTGTTCATCAATGATCAACATTCTGCATGGTAATGGGGCTGATACAGAGCAATGGAGGACTCAAAATGTGTTTATATGATATGTTTTACACACTGCATTAATCTGATTGTCCATTATTTCTAAAGCAAACATGGAAGCATAAAAATTATATTAACCGTTGCACATAAAGTCTGTTGTCCCATCAGATGTTTGTCACACCCTGTGAGAGCCACGACGGGTGCCCTGCAGAATGTAAAGCAGCCACCAGGCCGCCAGTACCCACATAATCACATTGTTATCACAATGGAGCTTGGTTAATGTTGGAATTTGTCTAATTTCTCTGTATACTGTATATTCTCTGTATATTTCTCAGATCATTAACAGAAATCAGCCAAAGTTAAAGTTCAAACTGCAGGAAAGGTGAAATGATTTTACAGACCCAACATGAACGATGACATAACACATATATAGTGGACATACAGTGACAAAAGTAAATTTTAATGGCTTTCTTTAGATTCATTTAATCGTGGCTTTGTATGTCAGTCTTCAGCACAAGTAGTAACAAATGATGGTCTTTCTTGGGTTGCATTTCTTAGCACTTTAGAAAAGCATGTGTCAATGGTATAATAAAATGGAATATAATCAAAGCAGGTTAGCAGAAGCATCTAATTAAATCTTCTTGAAGGGGGAGGCTACTGTTTAAAAGGTTATTGTCTATCATAGATAATTTACTGTCTGAATGCAGAGGGCTAGATGTGTATTTTATTATGTTCAAATGCTTTTAGCAACTTATGAAATATTTAAAAGAAACTAACCTCAAAATGGGATTGAATCATATGTTATGTATCCAGAAATTTCTTACTTGGGATTTTACAGCTCTAGAAAGTCTTTTTTCTGACCACAAAAGAAGAATTATAAAGTGACTTTAATGGATCAAGGCAAGAACTTCCTGCAAGCTTCATAAATTATGTATCATGGCTGTAACCTTGAAAAATAACCATATTTATTAATGCTTGGCTGGGCTTTTTATTTCTGTTTCTTGTTAGATTCTGTGATCTCAGTATTTAAATATCTATTTCAGTAGTTGCAGCTCATCTCTTTCCAGAAAGGAAATAGTCACTAATAGTAAAGTTGTAATTTAGTCATTCGTGGAGACGTCACTATTATCAGAACTTTTCTGAGTACAGGAGCCAGCATCATAAACATATGTACAGCACCTAGTACAGCATCTTGAATTCAGCTGGTACTTGCAAGACTTGTCATACAGTTACTCAGCCATTCCTTCCTTACAGATCTGTTAGAAAACAGATCACTTCTAAGGGACACATTTTTGTCTTTCCATTACCAGACATGTCTCATAGGAGTCCTTGAGTATCTTCTGCTTTCTAGGTATTGCTGTTGGTGGTGTAGAGCTCAGAGTTTATAGGATATAGTTGAGAAATAGAGGTATATATATATATTAAAAAAAAAAAAAAAAAAAAAAGTCTTTGGCTTTATGACTTTTTGTAGGACATTGAAGCCTCTGTAATCAGGTATGGACTGGTGCTCCAGGTTCATGGAGCCTAAGGCTCCGCTGGACCCTCCATCTGACCTCCCTTGTAATTCTGGAAGTTTCACCCAGTAAAGATGAAAGATAAGCTGAAGTATATACCTCTTTTCCTTACAAAGTTTATCTTGGATTTGAAAACCTAGGAGGTTTTATATCCAGGCCTAGAACAGAAAAACACTTCAAGCATGCTCATGTTGTAATACATTAAGAAGTGAAGTTTTAATAAGCATCAACCCAAGCAAGAATTTTACCTTTATCACTCTCAAGCACCCTCAGGTGAGCTTCTCACTCTCTAGCTTTCATGTTTTTAACCTGTGTGTGGTGGGGAGTCTGCTGCTGCTTGCTGCTAGAGAGTTTGGTTTTGCCTCAGGTTAGATATGCATTGCATCCTGTTGCTTCTGAATTCAGTTCCTGGTACGTTTGCTGGAAAAACTGCTGTCACATTCTTCATTAGATAGAAACAATTTATGAGAGGGAGCAAGCACCCAACTTGTAAGGATTTGGTTCAGTTGCCAAAATTTAGTGGCTATTAAACTCTTCTTTTATTACCCTAGATAGAGACAGGCTTCTGCAGAGTACTTGTTGGAGCAGGGATTTTGATGAGATGTAGGTCCTGTGAACGTCTATGTCCGTGTTGGTGTATTGCATTCCTCATGGAGGGAGGCAGGGAAGTCTCTACGACAGTGCTGTTGGTGCAGCATCTCAGTAATGTTAGCTCACTACAAGGGGACAATAAACACAAAAGCTTAGTGAGCACACCCTGATGCAGAGCTTGGGCTAGAGGAGTCTGAGTCAGATTCCCCTGCTATGCCACTGTAAAGGAAAAAAACACTAAGAGAAATAAAATATGTGCAGCGGCAAGATCCTTAGCTTGAAATATAGGAATTCTATCATCTGTTGGCATATGGGCAACTGAAATAAAAAATTGTGTGGAAACTGTATTGATATTAATGGCTTTGAAAACTTTATATATGGGAGAGAAAGGATACTTAAAGTTCAGCCTGTCAAAACGTGGATTTGGGGAATTAAAGATGTTGTACATTAAAGATTAAAAAGCTCTAATCAGTAATGACATGCGCAAACAATCCTGCTAGGCAAGGAAAAATGTAACAAGTAAGATGAAAGTTAATATATTCCATCTCTTTCCAGGCTAAAAGTGAACAGATCAGTGTGAGACACCTGACATCAGGAAACTGGGAAGTTATTAAAATCCTGGCATATGATGAAAATACTCAAAAGATGTAAGCACTACTCTCTTTGTCTGTTTATAAAAATATCAGAGTTATTAAAGTGGAATCCATTTAACTGGAAATAGTGTATCTAAAATTAAGCAACAATATTTCTTTCATTTTTGAGCATTACCATAAAGTGTACACTCCTGAGTACATAAAATGCAGCTGTAAGACAATTTATCTGCCAGGGTATTACTGTGTGTGTCTTTATGCAGAGGGAAAAGGAACATACTGTGACATCAGTTGCCTCATTATGGTTTCTAAATACAAGAAATCAATGCACAATGCATCCGTAATAACATTTTTGTGGCCTTTCCCTGGGTTCCAGAAAAGCAAGTCATACTAAATTTTTAGTACTTGATAAAACCCCAAATACTTAATTTTTCCAGCTTGCTTGTGAAATCTCTGGACTTTGATGATCTGACTCAAATTCTTAATACCAAATGATATGGAGAGCATTATCAAAACCCCTGATTTCACCCAGATCATTCAAAGAAAGAGAAATTTTCCCAAAGCCCCACTTGGTATTACATTGGAAAGGAAATGCACCACATAACTAATGATTCCTAGGAGCAGTAAAGAACTGACACACAATGTCTGAAGGCTCCAGATGACTTTAGTGAATCTTGATGAGCCTTTGTATCTATCTGCTCACTGCAAAAAATAAATACGTGTCCAATCCTGACTTTCTTTGAAGTAAATGGTATTTCAGCAAGGACATTGTGTGGCTGCAACAATGTCTGTCATCTCCAGAGTCTCAGGGTGTGCTCAGCCTGCAGAGAGATGGCACACTGCAGGTGAGTTGTCTCGGTCACCTGAGAGGACTTCCTTACCCTCCTTCTGCCTTGCAAGCAGAAACTTTTTGGGAATGTCATCTGGGACGCAACAAGGACTTTCCTTGCAGCAGCTCTACTAAGCTGCTTTCCACCCACGTAACCTTGCCTGTAAAGCATTCCCCAGGGTGCTAGCTTCTGTCCCTAGGTAGAAGAAAGAGTCTACAGCTCAAAAAGGCTTTTGGGTATCACAATGCCTATTGTATTTTATGATATAATTTCAGTGTGACCTTTTTCTGCTCCTTGGATTTATATTGCAAACTCTTGCAGAGAAGGAAGAACTTTTTGTTCTGTATTTGTTATGTGCAGAAAGGAGTCCTGGTTGCTACTGGAGCTCCTGGACATTACAGAAATTGAACAGAAACCATGAAATACTATATTTGTTGCTGTTTTGATATTAAAGCATATAGCATTTGAAATAAGTATTCTGTATACAAAATTTTCATTTCTTCTTGGGAGTTTCTAATAAAAAAAAAATGTAATTATGTCTTGCACCAATCTAAGAACCACACAGATCAGACTGTTTACGAAACCGAGTTTAATTTTCTTCATCTTTTGGGTGCAGTTATTTCTTAAGCACTGAAGAATCTCCAAGAGGAAGACAGCTGCACAGGTAAGAAATACACATGGCTGTGTTAACAACATATTCATCCCAAGCCACAAGTGCTAAACTGGCATAATTGTTGCTTTGGGGGTTGGGTAGACTATGTAAAAGTGAGTACACTTAAACTGTAAGAAGGAAAGAATCAGAATTTTTCAAAACTAGAAAAGCTGATATTTTATGTTAAAAAAAAGATAACTATTTTCACAAAAATGTTTTTACACTTATGTCTTCACTGGCACTTTAAAACCATTTAAATAGCTGGTCTGAAAGGCAATCATGTAATATGTCTGTGTTTTTAAAACTGATGAAAATCTTCCAAATACAGATAAAAACAAAACAAAACAAAAAACAACAACAACAACTTCTTACACAAACCTCAGTGCTTAAATCTGAAGTTAATGATGGTAACAACCAATGTTGTTACTCCAGAGCTCTGTTAGCTATTGAAACCCCAGTCTTGCTTTGGGTAGGTTTTGGATCTTATCCAAGTTGACAAGTTTATTGAATGGTAATTCACTCAATCCTTTGAAAACAGTTTGCATCAGGGTCAAAATAAGATGGTGATAGTTTGGCAGGTTTGGGGAGTGAAAGCAATTCTGTCACTTTGAAAAACTATTTCTTGGTTTATTGTATTTTATTCCAATGGAAAAATGTTTCTGATGTATTTTTTTTCCCCAGTGTGTCAACAGTGGGATCATTGAATCGTCAGTGCCTCTCGTGTAACTTCCTGAAAGACCAGTGCACATACTTCAGTGCAAAGTTTAGCCCCATGAATAGGCACTTTTTACTGCATTGTAAAGGTAGGTCAAATGCATAGCTTGTATTTATACCGTGTTTCCTTCTAAGTTAATGTTTTCCTTTGAGAAACACATTAGTCTGGAGTCTAACATTTAGCTCAGTAGTGGATTACTCAACATTTTATACCGAGCTTATTGCAAAACAATAAGAAAGTTCTGTGTAAAAGCTAAATAAATAAGTGGTATCAGAAAGTTGCTTCAATCTTAGTAAAGGACATTGACTTTTAAATTCACCCTGAATAAAAATCCTTTACAAAAAATATGGGATTTTATAGTGATAGCACTGTGGTTCATAACAATGAGTGGACCAATTAGCTTCATTATAGTATTGGGATTGATCTTCTGCAACTATATCTAGTTAAAAAAAAATGAGGGCCTTCTTACTGTAACACTATGTCTATGTAACACTGTAACACTATGTGTGTATGGATATAATATGTGTATAATAAATGTCTAGTATATCTATCTGTACTACTCATCTGTACATGCATGGGTATATATATGGGTATGTGTGTATCTACCAAAAAACAGTTAAGGTTTAATCCACATAGACTGATCCTCTTTATCAATGGAATTGCAATAAATAACTTTTAGCTTTTTCTGCTAAGTGCATTCCAGCAGCACTAAATGGCACCAGTTCAGAGCTCGTATGTACAAACAGAAAACTAGAGCCATTCCACACTGAGAATAAACACTGATCGATAAGTGAGATTATAAAGAGGTTCAGAAAAACATGAGACAGTCAGTGATAAAGTTTATAGCTAGGCCTATCAACCTTGAAACTTGTAGTATTTTACAGACAATGTTCCTCTAGTACTTTGCTCAACTAACATCAGAATGAAAATAGTGGAACCCGTCATCTGAAATACATGTAACTAGCCCATTCTATTTGCATACATTTTTCTATTTCTTTTGAAACTGCACATGGTTTTACACACACATACAAAATAAAATAAAAAAGAATCTGCCTGCTTCAGAATTGAATCTATTTGAACAAACTATGAATATATATTGGCTAAAATAAGGTGTGTTTTTGTTGTTGTTCTTTTTGGGTTTTGGTAGAAGTGCACCTATAATACATAGCTGATCATACGAAATAAATAAACCAAGTGTATGATTTATACATGGTTAAAGCTGTGGTAGAAGTTATGGAACTAATCCTGATGCCCTTATCTGAGTAAAGACAGCACCAGTAATGAGCTCCTCATTAAGCAGAGTATGCAAAGTTTTCCCTAGTGCTTGGCACAGTCCCTAGGGGGAGATGTCTCAGACTCCTGCAAGAAGGAGCGCTGGTAAATTGGGAAGAGTTTTTTGCTCTGAGTCAGCAATGTCCTAGGGCCCAAAAACATAGCTTTATTTTTATTTATTTTTTTGGTAATTTTAAATTTGTTCCTTTGGTATCAAACCATGGATGCCAGTAGGAGCTTGTGCATGAAATTCCTCACAAGCTCATGACTTCCAGTGACTGGAGATTCCAGCTCTCTGAGCTGGTAGGACCATAGATCGCCTCCCAGGTTAAACCTATATTTCACTGAACTGCATCCAGCAGACTGTCCTAAGATGGGCAGGGATTGATAAAACACCATTTTTATTTTTTTTTCTTACCTCTAACATTAATGTGTATTAAGATTATTCAGAAGTCTTCTCTTCTGTTGGTCAGCGCTTGGCAGTTCTGGCAGCAGTGCAGCCCCCTTGTACTGCCACAGCTCTGTAAAATGCCTGTGATGGTGTGGATCTATGACAGTATTGTTGACAGCAACATTACCACAGAACTGCTTAAAAGTGTACAAGGTAAACTAACTTGAGGAGACAGGTGACACCACATCTACGTGCATACACAATCGTTTTCCAACAACAAAAAGCCTGTCTGAATTGTTGTGAAAACAAGTCTACCCCAGAGATTCAAAAATCTATGGGGAACTCTGGACTGGTTTGATCTGTGCAAGTTTCTTCCGCCTTCTGTTTACCCATAAGCATATTTATTAGGATAATTTTTTCTTCTTAATTACCCTCAGCCAGATCTGTCTCAGTATACTGGTTGTATCCATCTCCAGAAGGTCTCCAGAGACTCTCCTGAGTGAGGTGTTAATTTCTAGTCTGGTAGAAGGAGGACCAGCTCTCAGCCTCTCAGTCTTGGCAAGCATCACACTTTTTTTTTTTTTTTCTAACCTGCTTGTGGATTTTTCCTTTAGCACTTCATAAACACTGACAGATGTAAGTCTCTCAATTCAAATAAGATAGGGAGTAATTCACAAAGGGAGTAATTGCTTAGTGTTAGTTATAGGAGGTCAGTGGACAAACCCAAGAGTGTGCTTAATTCCGATAAACTTTAATGCTTTGAATAACACAGCACCTTTAACACAAGTCTTTCTCCTTTCTGATTGGCTTTTAATCTCCTTTAATGTCTTTTATTTATTCATTTATTTATTTTGAAATCTGGCATCATCCCTCCATTTTCTTTTAGAATGACAAATAGAGATGGCCAGGAAAATGCCAGTGCTTTCCCCTCCAAAATAACATGTTCTGAATAACTGTTTTTCTTAAAACAGAATTCAGAGCAAAGCACATTTAAAAGAAGTAAAAAGGACTGGAAAAATAAATAAATAAATAAATAAGGACTACTGAAGAAATTCTCTTATTTAAAAGCTAAGGCAGAAAACTATGATTTGTCAGCAGTCTTCCTGTAAGATTTTTGTCAATACTGTCCCTTGAGGCAGAGAATTAAATTGATAAAAATCTTCGGTGGAGGCTGTGAATGGCATCATGCTATTTATTTCAGGTAGTTAAGTTCCCTAGGCTTGTGCCACAATTAATTGAGGGAGACAACCTCCTTAGGATGACTCAAAACACATGAATTAAACTTTCTGTGAACTGTTCTCAAGGTATTTTTTTTTTCTCCAGAGAATATATAAGGAGTTGGAAATCTTAATTTCAAAGGAGGGTCCATATCTGCCATAGGGTTCTCAGGCACTCGGCTTTTCTGCATCATCCTTCCTAGCCCAGTAGTGGCTACCTGCATGTAATTGAAGCTCTTGTCTTACCAAGATAAATCTAAATTTCCTCTACACAAATTCCATGTTTGGGGGAGGTGGGGAGTGGGACAACTCATGAAGTAAGATTAAATTACATTACAGCTAGATTTAACAGTGACATTGTTGCTATTACAGAGCTGAGATACTAAAGGAGCTTCTTGAGCAGATAATTAAGTGAAATATGTGATAATTTTTCAATACCTCTGTAGTTTTTCCATAAAGAATATAAGTGGATATTATCATTAATTCAATTTCCCATCAACCTAAAGTTACAGCTTTGGAATGTCAAACTGCTATATTTTAGAAAGTGCCTTTAAGTGCCTCTAATTTTTATACTCTTCACTTGTTGCTAAACATGGAGATAAAAAGAAAAAAGATCTCCTTCTAGGTGCAGGAAGTAAGACTGCTTGTTGAAGAGACAGAACACAGCTTCAGTTTCACACCATTGGTCCTTGGCCTTAACCATGTCCTTCCCAAGAGAGACTGATGGAATTACTGCTGTATTTTATGTGAAGCATATGTACAGGGCTTGTGGGATCTGTCCTTATGAGGTTCCTTGTGTTCTCATTCTTTGTTATTTACTGAAATACAAGTACTAACCACCCTACACTTGCTCTGTTTTTTTTTTTTTTCTGTCTTCAACACAGGTCCAGGTGTTCCAGTCGTTAGTGTGCACAGTACAAGTAACAGTGGAAGTGAGTATTCCTTATGGACTAGGTATATTTCATTTTTGTCCTTGATTGATTTGGGGACTGTGGAGGAGGAGGGGGAAGATGGTTGCAAGTAAATGAAAACTAACAGATGTGTCATTCATAAAAAGTTATATTATTTACCATTTAACAACACACACATCTGAAAATGATACGGAAAGAAGGCAATCAAATGACTAAAACTTTTCCAGACTTTTCACATGCATTTTATACTAAGTGCTTATCTTTCATCTTCTATTTACACCTGAGTTAATTAGACGGCAGGTTGGTCTTCATCCCGTTCACTTTCTATGTAAATTATGCTGCCTTTACTGCAGACCTTCAGATTTTTAGTGATGTTTTTTAAAGTTATAATCCAATTATCTTGAACTGAAGTACAGTCCTTGGAGGACTGGTCATAAAATCTGACCTACATGCAATGAACTTAGTCCTGCTCTTACATTTCTCAAATCAGACCAACTCCGTTGACATTTTCAATTAAGACAAATCCAAAAACAAGGCCTTTTTAGGAAGGTATTCAATACTTCTAATTTTGAAATTTTACTCATTACCTTCTGCATATTGACACCAAACCTATAGCCAGGTATTTCCTGGCTGTTTGGGATGCTTTGTAATAGAAGACTATTCTTGAGCATCAGAGTTTTCCTCGCTTAAGGTATTTCTCGAGTGCAGTAGGGGTAACAGCACTACCACCAACTCCACTGTGGTTCCACATAGCGTGAAGGTGTGGATTGGAGGAAAGGTTGAATCTTTCCATTCAAATCTACTAGACCAATCCTTACCTGTCCCAGTTTCATTCAATAGATTATCCCCAGAATTTTTCCCAGAATCCAGAAATTATGTACTCTGCTTGCCTGTATTCCTTTTGTCCCTTGCCAGCCACAGATGACAACAACAGGTGACCTAACCTTGCATGTTGAAGTAGCATACTAATCAATAGTATCGTGCTAGCAAGCATTAATTAATGTTTGCACTTCAGCTTTGTATTTTTTTTTTGATGTCACTGTTGACAGTATTTGTAAATCTCAGTGCCATGTCACACCAAGGGGAAGGAGTTTTATCCAACTCAGTAAGAGGTAGATACTGCTAAAGTAAAATTAATTGACTTCTGTAGAGCTACTCAATTCTGTGAAGGTACTCTTTGGCTCTTTATTATTCGTATCTAAACTGCTACTGATAGTGAATCATTGTTAAGAGATTTATGTTGAGCATCTTAAAAGAAATAAAGCAAGTAAGGATGGAGGGATGTTGTTTGCTGTAAAAATGAGAAAGCAAATAATGAGAGATAATTTATCTACAGTGGTTCAGTGCAAGATTAGATTATCCTCTTCAATTAATAAAACAATGATTATGGATTACTTCAATTATTTCATCCTCAGACTATAATTACACCATTTTGGTTGACTGCCCAGAAAAGGCATTGTCTCTTTTTGACCTAAGCACAGGGTTTATTGTTTAATGAAAAATATACATTTTGGAAACAAGATTGTTAATTTGAGTGAAAAAAAAGAAAAGAAAAAAAAAAGACTAATCATTCTTCCATATGCAAAAGCATTGCTTCACATCTGTCTGCAGCTTTAAACCAAACTAAGTCTTACTCTTGGCTGAAGTGCAGAAGACAGAGAAGGACATGAAGTGATCAAGTATAGCTGTAATGGCTAAATATTGATTTGGAATATGTAGCCTGAAGAAGTGTGCTTACTCGGGGCTTAGGATATTGCCAAGCAGACTAGCCTGTGACATCTGCTGTTAGTATTTGTCAGGGATACTACTATTCATGTTGGTCATCAGTGATATCATTGTTAGTGCTTAAAGAAAACAAAGCCTGCATGAAGCCAGAAATGAGAGTAGTTGTATATGTTCTGAATTAAACTGATTGCCCTTGAATTGCAAAGCAGTTGCATTATATCTATATTTAATATTGTATATTAAAAAAAATAAAGAAGGAAATAATTTACAAGAGTTGTTACTGCACGTTTGTGTCCTTTCCTTTAATTTTTTTTTTTTGAATATTGATTTCTCTTTGAATGATGGTTTTCTGTAACTCTCAGCTTGTTTTTTCTTCCTGTTTTCTACAGATTTTTATATTTTGGAGAATAATGCTCTGTTGAAAGAAGCTGTTTTGAAGAAAAAGAATTCCAGAACTGAAATTAAAATGCTGCACATTGAGGATTACGGTAAATTTGGCAAAATATTATTTTAACAAACAAAAAGCTTTCTTGAATTGTTACTGTTTTTCATCTGTGTAACTACCAGCCTTTAATGTCTTGCTCTTTTCTTAAAAGAACTCCCTTTACAGTTGTCACTGCCAAAAGATTTCACGGATCGAACCCAGTATGCCCTTCTATTAATAATGTAAGTATTTGTATAGAATCATATAAAATAATAAAAAGTACTACATAGAAAACATATAATTCCATAATTAGAAAATGTAATTTTTCATTGCCTCACGGATTTGAGTTGATAAATTAAAAGACTTTTTCTGAGGTAGATTTTGTTTTAGGCACTGTATGGAAGAGATGCCTGTTGGTTTTTTTTTGGGTGGTGGTAGCGGTGTTGATCTTGTCAAACCTGGTTTGACCACTAACAAGTGGTGCCTTTCATATTGCTCAGCTACAGCTACTTCCTTACTTACATTTTCAGCTGTGTTACAATTGTTACTGTATTCCAGCTGCTGAAAGTTTGAAAAAGAATGCTTACCATTGTCCTTGGTAATAATGGTTTAAATGGGTATCAGTTTTGTTGGAAAGGAAATGTCATATTACATCTTGATCTATATAACATCTTGAACTACATGCACCTAGATGTATATAAAGAAAAGACAGACATTTAAAATAGTGAAGTGTTAGATACGAAGTGTTTTTTTGAGCTCCATTTCAGCTGCAATTTGACAAGGGCTTATGAAAAAGAGAGGCAGAAAAGGAAGAAAGATGATTAAAAGAGAATATGAGTTTAAAAAGAAATTTACCTAATATTCCTCTGCAGTCCAATCTGAATGCCTAGTTAGGTGTACAAAGGTTTCTGATACTTTGTTTCCTAACCTGGAGGGTAAATATTGCATGTAAGATCTAACATGCTTCAGTGATTGCTTTAGAGACTCTCCAATCCTCTGGTGAAGTTTCACCTTCCGCGAGTCACACATTTTGCCAGGATCTGGTTTGCTTATGTGGTCTCAGCTCTGTCTGCAGAGATTTTGCACTGGTGGCCAGTTTCACTCCTCTGAATAAAGTCCTTTTTTGATGGCTGAGGTTCTTATTTTGACTGTAATTTTTGGTAGCAGCAAATGCTTCTGTGTAGTGTTCTTGTGCTCTCTGGATTGATAAGGTTACAATTCTAAGAAAAGTTGGAATAGAAAAAGGGAAGAAAGTTTGGTGTTATTCTCACAGTCACACAATAGCAAATATATTTTTTCAAATCACTGAAAAAATATAGCCATATCAAAAGTGTATGACTATAATAAGGCTCCTACATTTATGAAAGGCGCATACAGATAAATGTGAGCTCCCAAGATATGGCACCCAGGCTACTGAATCTTGGAAGGGAGCCTGTGTCAGTGGGTTGTGGACCCAGCATAAAACCCAGATGCGAATGCTGTACAGCTCCATGTTGTCATAAGCTCAGTTTAAGGCCTATATCCTAAATATCCTGTACCCTTCATGGTAAGGATTTTGTGAAGATTCATCTACTAGTAGTTGCAAAGCATGCTGCAGTGCTGAAATAGATCATTGTATTGCTATGTTAAAATCTATGTTCATCTGTGTATGACCAGACTATCTAACAAATAGGTATCATATAGAAGCCAGTTTTGTTGTTTAGAGCTATTATTCTTCCAGGAATTGTGATGCAAAGGCCATAAAATGCTAAATAGATTATAACACTTTTTTTCCATTTGTTCTCCTAAACAACTAATACATTTCACACTTGGTTTCCTTCTGATATAATACATGCAATGTAGCTATAGATTAGAGAGGTGTACAGTAATTGCTTGAAAATGTGATTATCATCTTTTTCTATATAATTAAGATCAAAGTTTAAATTCCAGATCCTTGATTTTCTCATTATGATTCACCTTACTCATTAAAAAAGTATGATACACTCCTTAGTAACACACAGGAAATGATTAAGTAAAGATTCTGGCATTTAATCCGGGTAATAAAATGAGAGGTGATAATCATTCTTTATTTTTTCTTGAACGTAATTAACCTCATTCCTTCAAAATCTTTAGGATAATGTATCTTAAATGTCAGCATTTATTATTTAACACCATTTAAAATTGTCCAATATGTAGGTGGATATTGTTAAACCAAATCAGTGGAGAGTTTGTTCTGATATTCAAGGGAAATAAACAGCAGGGTACTCTCCAAAGTAACAGTGAATCGTCTCCAAGAGGTTTCTGTTTGTTTGTTTGTTTACTTGTTGTTATATTTTGGTAATAAACAGGAATCACTTCACCTGTTACTGAAACAATGAAAGATTTAGGCCTTGCCCAAGCAATCAAATCTGTTTATGACTCCAGTTAATACACTTTTGGGGCTGATAGTATAAGACAAAAGACAGCAAGGTTGGAAGTGAAGACTTTTACAGCTTCAGGAATAACTCATTATAAGACTAACAGAAATGTAGAGAGGCATAATACAAGTACTGGAAGATATTCAAGATGTGGGGTATAAGGCTTTATATATTGATAGTCATGTTGCGTACCTTTCAATTTTGTATGACTCGTTATATTACTCGTTTTAACTGGCAGCTGTTGCCAGTGAAGAGTTGATGCTTGTCTACAAGGTGAAGCATAAAGTACATGGTGAATTCCCCTACTTTGGTTGCAAAATGCTTGCAAAGGAGGATGTACCTAAAAGCATTTTTATTTAGCCAGTTCTTCCCCTGTAAGACAGCTGCAAAGTTTAATTTTGGGGAGATCTTTAAGTCACATGAATGATTCACTAGTTGCTTTGCAGACCATCCATCCAGTGTGTTCATTCTTCCTGTTTTGACCAATACAGAGCAGTATTTCACTACTCTCTTGTGCTTCTGTTACATTAAAGTCTGATTTTCTTTCCTCTCCTTTGAACTTCATAGCATTTCTCATGGCCCAGAGGGAGAATTCATTTAGCTGTAGGCTAAAAGAGGGACAGGCTAGAGTTTTACTCCAGCTGTTTCATTTGCAGTAGTGGTCCCAGTGCTATGGGCCATAATCAGCCTTCTCAATCCCCTTTTCTTCACTCTTGTCCCCAAAAAGGAGTTAGGGAATTGTTGAGCTAAGATCTGTCCTCCTTTAGCTTCCCCTATCTTTTAGGTTCTTTCACTCCCCGCCCCCAGCAGTACACATCCTGCAATGTGAATAAAATGCATTTTCAATCTTTCCTAGAGAAAGACAAGAGGAAATTCAAAACTTCACCTCCTTTTCTGGTAACACATCTCTTCCTCTCACAATTGTATTTTCAACATCTTCAGCCTTGAGGGTCTGAGAAAGATATTTTAAGAATCTTTTTCTTGTATTGTATTGTCTACTTCAGGCCTATGTATCACATGATTTTGCCCTGGTAATAGAGTAACTTCTGGTGATGTATTTTAATTTGTTTGGCCATATCTTCAGGGAGGAGTTACAAATACGCTAATGGTTTCTAGTTGGAGTCTGGTATATCTTAAAAGGCTACATGTATATGGAAAAAATGTTTGGGATTTTCTGTTCTCAGTGTGTGAGGCTATTCAGGTTCCCTTTTTGACCAGTAATGGTGGGTGTGCTTGAAAGCTGAACAAGAGATGCCCATGAAATCTGAAAATGAAGTGGATTTTTTCCATTGTACTAGCTTTTGCGAAATGGTATTCTTTTCCCACTCAGTTTCACTGTAAGAAAGATTTTTGTCAGTAATATTTCTTTGTCTATAGTGGGTAGATTTTATCATTTGAGATGTCTTTCTTATGTTTGTTATCAAGATGCCTTTTCCATATACTGCATCAAATCCACTGCTTGGCAGAAATAGATGTACAGGAAATTAAGCAGTGATAATGGCAGTTATTTTCCACATATATTTTGAAATTGTTTTTCTCTCTGTTTGGTCAACTGTATAACTTCTAAAGTTCTGATTTACAATCTTCCCACTTAGTTTTTAAATGGTGCGAAACCTGAAATAAATTTTGCTGCAGTCATGGTGTGAGATTGGCAGAGGAGTAGAACTTAGAGTACAGCAGCAACAGCCTCTCTGGTAACATTATATTATCCCCTGAAGGCTGTAACTCTAGTCATGAACAGAGACTTCAGTTAAAGCTTTTGGTTATAGAATCCTAAATAACAGATTCTTCTCTTTTCAGCAGTTTACGAACTTATGATGAGCTGCCCCTTTTCCCAGACAGTCTGCAGTGTATGTGACTGCCTTGCAAGAATCATACAAACTACCCACTAAGGTCAATGATATTGGTATATTATTGATGGCTCCTGTCTGTTTAAATGGTGCCTCGATGGTGAACTTCTGCAGTTTCCCAAGTTGTCAGCAGTCGTGCTGCCACAGAGGACTCATAATCCGGGTGTAGTCACTGTTGAAGACACAAACTAGGCAGCTCTTAAGCTCCAAACTTTGAAAGTCAGAAGAAAAAAAAAAAAAAAAGTGCAAGTGCTATCACATACAAGAAGGAAAAAAAAACGAACCAGAAAATGTTAGGCGTCTTCTTATCTTCTTCATTTGAATCATTCTACTCCTGTTGCTTGACTCTGGAGATGACAGGGATACTGCTCCTTAAGGAACCCCTGAATGATTGCAAAGATGTAACTTTGCTTATGCATTTTGGTGTTGGCTTTGATTTTACTGTAGTACTTTGCTTCCCTTATGTTTACCCACAGTCAGGTGGGAAGAAGACTTCTGTGTTTGTATTACAAACCAGCATAAATGGTATGGACTTTCACTCAGGCTTACCAGAGGGGTCATGAAATAATCCTATGAACAGGGTACCACTGAACAAGAGTGAATTGTAATTGGACTGTAAGTAATAATGAGTGCAAAACAAAAACTGACCTTTGAGAAAGCTGGAATCCCAAGACAAACTTCACAAATCAGGCTGTACATCTATTATTGCACTGCAGTAACAAACCTACTTTGTTCCAGAGCCCTCAGGGTGATGTTCAAACTTGCATAAAGGATTAATACTTTGCAGAAGTCTCATTTAAGGGCAAAAGTGGGGCCTAAGAGGTGCATAGAATATACAGTCTCTCTGTGGAGAACAGAGTCACACCTCAGATAATCAGTATTATTTTAGAGTAGCAGCTGAAGAGTAAAGAGACATTTTGAAGCTAATGGGAATTTTGACATGTACCTCAATGGAAATGGCTTTAAATGCCTGTCAAAGACTACTTATGTGGACATTCTTGAAATAAATTAGCCACTGGAAAATTGCTTCCAAAAGCAATATGTCAAACAACCCATCACAAAGGAGAGTGGTAGATGTGTTTAAAGTCTGAGCCTAAAAGTAGCCCAGCTGTGCCCTCCAGAGAAGGAGCTTGGAAAAACATTGCTGTCAGTTCTCACCCACAGAAAATCTTGCTGAAGTTCTGTCTAATATACTTTTTTTTTTTTTTTTCAATAGAAGTAATTATCTGAGGGTGGCATCTTTCACTTAAAACACTATCTTGGTTTAAAGCATCTTCTGGTACTGAAGAAAGCTTGCAAATGTGATGGTTCTTCCTCTTTTCCCAAGTGCCTAGATATATAACACATAAATGAGAATGATATTTGTTTTGTTCTTAATTTAGGTGGGAGGGATGTGGGCTGATTCATGATAATTTCACTTGTGCATTAAACTGTTTTAAAGATAACCAGCCAGACAAGGATATTTCTGACAGATTTTCTTCATTTGAAAAGTTAAAAGAGCTTTACTTTAAAAAAAAAAAAAAGATTGGAGGATTGAGGCTGCTGCTGTTCTCCTATTGGAAATAGTAGTAGAAGCTCTGTGAAACCATCTATGTCAATGCAGAGTGCTTCTGAAAGCCTTGATCTGTACAATTACCATACACTTTAAAAGAAACTTTCTTCTCCTGCTCTTTTACAAATAATAATGATAATATAATTCTGAAACTTGTGTTTTCTGCAGAGCTCACTCGACAATGAATATTTCCAAATTCATTGCTCTACATTGTTTGCATTTATTGTAATGGTGTGTAATCACAACTGAACGGTTAAGCAAACAAAAAACACTGTTCCTTTCTTTTTATAAATCCATATATAAAATTGTTACATAGGACAATGATGAATGAAGCATAAAATATTTTGACTAACTCTACAAGTAAGTAATGCAGATGAAACGGAAGCTATGTATACATGGTAGGTCTTGCTGAATTTGAGAACATATGTATTCATCATATGCTTGCAAATTAATAGGGAGATTACCTTGAAGGTGTTCTACGCTATCCACAGCCAAAAAAAAAAAAAAAAAAAAAGATAATGAACATTATCTTATTGTACATATAAGACAGCAGTTATTGTACAAGATTTTTATCTCTTTCCTCCCCCCAGGTTTTTATAAGTCTCTGAAGCTAAAGCTTCTCTGGCAAAATAATCATTTCTGTCTTCATCTTTCTTTCACCTTAGACAGGATATTCCCACAGACACTGTCCAATCTAATTTCCATACAGCCAGCACAGACACTTTTACATTTTAATTTGTATTCAGCTGGCAGATGCAGCCTGCATAGAAGTATTTTGCATTTTGTAGAACTTCATGGTAGCCTGCTCTCTTATTCTGCGTTTATCTTGGGGAAGAAATAATGCCAAGCTTCCCTTTTAAAACTGGTATTTTGTTTTCTTTGAAAGGAAAATAGAATATTTGCCTTCAATATAAAATGCTTATTGTTCCTCTAGACACTGCATTCTCCCATTCTTTTCCACCTTTTCTTCTCTAAAATACTTTTTTTTTTTTTTTTTTTAAGTCATAAAATAAACTTATCATTCCTGCCTGAATCCATTTCTTGCTGTGAGTTTGGATGGAGAAAATGTAATTTTCTCCAACGTGTACTTTAGTCTTCTTTGTACCGTATTTCAGAAAATCCATTTGAGGACACAATAATGCAATTATTTGTTTTTGAAGATGGCAACCTTCTATATACAACGTATTATATATCCTACAAAATCATACTCAAAGTACTGAATGAATATTCCTTTTTTTCTGTTTAGTGCAACTTAACAAATTGTACACGAGCTTTCTCAGAACTGAACTAGCCATTAGTGATTATATTATTTTTTTGTTCACTTTAAACACTACATGCTTTGATTTTCTGTTTGTTTCTCAGCTATTGGCAACACCACAGCATAATGGTTTTAAAGTTAAATTATTTTGCTTACTGCTACTGCAGATACAGCAGCACTAGCTAATGGGATAGTATCGATGGAAGGGACAGTAATTCAACATGATTGCATAAACAACTGAATTCTGCCATCTAGGTTAATTAAAATATCAGAGAACAGCAAAGTGCATCACATTGTCAATAGTCTTCGTTTCTGTCTGGTGTGTTGGTATTTGCAGTGATGAAGCTCCAGGCAGCCAGTTGGTTACAGATAAGTTTCACATTGACTGGGACTCAGTGCTTGTCAACTCTGATAATGTCATCGTAGCTCGATTTGATGGCAGAGGGAGTGGATTTCAAGGCCTCAAGATCCTACAAGAAGTCCACCGATGCTTAGGATCAGTGGAAGTGAAGGACCAAATAGCAGCCGTAGAGTACGTATGTGCAAACTTTTCTTCTTTTACCCTGCTTCCACCTTGATGAATAAACGTTTTTGAATGAAACTGCCCAGAATGGTTTCTCTGCATAGTAAATAATACTAATGTTTATTTTTTAATGCAGTTGCAGATATTGAAATAGTAACCTTTTCATTACAAACAGCAAATTAAAGATCAAAGAGATGCTTGCTTTATATGTTGGTGCTTCTCTTTGGTAAAGCTGTCCTTCAGTGTGCCGTCTAGATATGTCATCTATGCTACTTTGTATTTGTCTGTATTCCTTATAAAAACTTCTTACAGCACAAATGATAATGTTTAACTGTTTTTGTGTTAAAATTTTTTAGGTCTATATGGTAGGATGCTGCTCTCATTTTCACAATGGAGCTTTCAAGTAATTTTACAATGCAAATGAAGTTATAATGTTGTAAATGAGAACAAAATCTGGGCCAATGTCTACATATTTCTCATTTGTATTGTCATTCTTTGATATAAATCCACCAGCTGCAGAAGAAAGTAGTCTCTCTGTAGATTAATCACACATAGCTTTGACAACCCTCTTTACTCAGGGTGCCAGTAGGCTAATATCAAGGTCTGGATGGACTCTTTCTAGGGACCTTCAAGGAAAGACAAAGGCAGACTTTCAGCTGGCTATGTTTTTTGTTGTTGTTGTTTTTTCTTCTTCTTTGAAAGGGTTTAATGCTTGAACCTATCCATGAGTAGGTATCTGTGTATCTGTATCTGGTATGACAGAGCTGGGCACTGAGGCTCCTGGCGTTTATGTTGGTCAGGAATGGGCTGCGTTGAGCAGAGCAATTCATCTTCCGAGCATCCAAGTGACCCTTGCAAAACGGCTGTCTGAAGCAGACCACAAGCTGTGCTGTGAGATCTGAGCTCTCTGCTTAAATAACAAGTAGTTTCAACTCAATGATATCTGGCCTCTTTTTGGGTGCATTGCATGGGGAAAAGGGAGAGAGGAGGTGAGAGGCTGAGAGGAGGTACTGAAGCTGGTTTTGTCTCTTCAAAAGCAGTTGGGTTTTAGCCTCAGGTTATTCTGTCTTTTCTGTATAAAATTCACCATTGCTAATTAAATGCCATGATGAGAGAATTAATTGTTTGGATAATTACCTAGACTCAGGAAGTTGCAGTCATTTTACCTTTAACTGTCTGAAAAATAGGCAACTGGTCAAAGCCAGTCATTTAAGCTCTAGTTAATGGAAAATCCTGGCAACTCTGAAGGGTTGCGCTCCCCAGGCTGTGCCTGACATGAGTGGGAAGAAAGGCTGTTTGAGAGTGCTCTTCTCCCTGACAGAGGAACAGATGTAAATGTCCAATTTAGACAAGATGCTCAAATTCAGGTATCTAAAGTTAGGTAAGATGAGTTCAATGCCATGTGTTTGCCATACAGAGGATGAATTAGAAAAAAAAAATCACATTTCCTAGTGCAATATCACTTTTATTGCTGTAATTTGTTCTTCTACCTTATCCACACATATAACAGTTCCTCAAAGTACAAATAATTTTCTTTTTTACTTTGGTGAATCTGGTATATAAAGAACTTTTTATTTCCTTTCTCTCTCTCTTTTTTTTTGTTTTGTTTTGTTTTGTTTCTTGCAGATCATTATTGAAACAGCCCTTTATTGATCCTAAAAGACTGAGTATATTTGGGAAGGTAAGATGCAAAAATAATAGGATAGTAGGATATATCATCATTATTCTTTATGAGAATCCTAGTTCATAAATGAATATATTTATCTCTTTTCTTAAGACAATTTCAGTTATTAAAAGTGGGAGAAATGCTACCATAATTTACTGTATATTCTGTATATTTATTTCTCAGAATGGGTATTTGAAATCAATCAAATCCATTTTATGGTACTGTAGTATTTGCTTTTCAGAATCTGCAGGACAAAATTTTTATTGAAAAACATCTGCTTTCATTACAAAATTTTAATATCAGCTTAGGTGTTGTAAAAACTTGTTTCTTGCACTTTTACATTTGGGCTACAGTTAAATTGACAATGTCCTTCTAATACAACGTTTATATCTGAATATTTTACTGACTGCCTAAGTTACAACTGAGTTACAAGAACTTTCTTTTGTGTCTTTGCTATTTTGTCAGCTGCTTCATTGTGTAGCATATTGTTGCCTCTAGCATGATTGGGAGCAAGTCAGAGGCTTAACCTTTCATAACAAACTGAATAGCATTTTATTGGTCTGTTAAAAAACAGCAGTTAAACGCCAAATAATTGCTGCTTCTTCTATAAACTATAAACTAGCATGTGCATCTTTTTTTTTTTTTTTTTAATTACTATTATTAGTATTTTGTTATCCTGAAAATGAAAATATTTTGTGCCTTTGACCTTAAGGCAACAACAAACCATGGCCAAGTACCTAGACAACACCACAGTCACCAGTTATAGGAACAGCATGTTTTCCACTGTGATACTAATATTTAACACCAGTGTGGTAGCAATTTGGAAGACTAGTTAATGTTTGTGTAGTGTAGTGAAAATGAAGTACTGGCTACTATTAACATCCCAGAGGAGAGTGACCTTCCTCAAAGATGTAAGCTCCTGCCATACTCCCTGTAGCTACCAAAGCTGTCATTGCAAGAGTATCAGTAGCAACAGAACAGTATTTGGTTTGCAGGGCAGCTGTCAGAGATTTTTCAGCTAAGTAGAGGTGATTTCATCCACCAAATGATCACGGCACACATTGCTATTCAGGTTTTAGTGCCTGTTAGCAATGTATATGAAAATACACATGCATGTAATTATATACATTTCTCCACATGCTCTTCCCACAAATGATTACAAATGTTATTTCTGAATTGAAATCACGAAACGTCCCCCAAATATTCCTAACTTCAAAAATTACCACATTTCCTGTAGGAAATTCAACACTTTTCTAACAGTGACATGACAAGCCAAAATTACCATAAAGCGTACGTAAATGCAGTTGTAAATATCTGCCAATGTCTATACCATTATTATTATTATTATTATTTTTTTTTTTTACCTCTCAGCACTTTTTTGTTTTATTTTGTGTGTGTGTTTTCAGACAAACAAAAATTCATAAAATTGAAAAGTCAGTTTTAGAATCGGGAAACAAGATCTATTTAACAGCTTCCTAGGGTTAATTGTATTTTACCTTTACTCTGCTTATTTTAGAGTCAATAACAGATCTTCTTTAAAACTTGTTTCCTTTTAACTGTGTACAACAATGTGATAATTAAAGTGTTTGTTTCTATGCATTAAATTGGGTTTACTGATGGAAAAAGAATATATACTTTGCTTAAAAGTAAGATGACTTTGGAATTGCTTAATGCTAAAAATTCTGGGCTCATGCACACAGTTGTGGAACTCTTTGAGAAGTTTTAGAACTACATAGAAGTAAAATTCTTGTCACAATCAGTAGTGTTAGCCATTCACAAGAGTAACAAGGCTGTCCAGAGGGCACAGTGTGAAAAATACCTACTTCTGACTGCCAGGCAATCTGCCAATATCATCTTGCTTATCCCTGTGAGAGGGATACAAGCCCAAGTGATGTATGATCCAAGGGCTTTTCAGTACTGTTACATAGCAAATTGTGTTTCCATGTAGTTTGCCTTTTTGCCATGAAAGTAGGAAAAGAGCTTGAAAATAAGTTGAAATTTCACAGCCAAACAGCTTCCTGGAAATAGTCAATTAAGCTGTAACCACAGAAATCCAGCCCATGAGTGAGGCACCATATGTCCTTGCATGAGGACATAGGAACTGCTTTCTGTATCATCATTGTGAAGTGATTCTGAAAATTTGATCTCACAGTGTAATGCTTTTGTCCTGGAAAGCCTGACTGGAAGCGAGGGCACAAGCACAGAGGAAAGAAACTCCTAGGAGAACTAAACCAAGCTCTTAATGAATACATGGCATAAATAATAAATAACATGGCAATAGTTATCCTAGGATTAAAACTGTGCTGTGGAGCTATTGGAAAAGACACAAACAGAATATTAAACAACAGCAAAAATAGAGAACCCAGAGGCAGAAGAAAGTTGCTGTTCTCTTAAACTCTGTGAATTATGAAAGTTGTTGCTGCCCACTCAAAAATTCTTTCTTGACTTAAGTCTACTCCTGTACATGGAGTACTGGACTACTGGGTTACTCTTGGTCTCCTTGGCTGGAATTTCTGTAGGAATAGGGATAACTCTGTTCCTCATACTCCTGTGAAAATCAAGTTCTTATTCTACGTTTCCTTTAAAGCGTCCATTCACGTTTACTACACGTTGATTGCAAAGAACACTCCCGTTGGCTTATTTTTCTTAACGAAAGTAAAAGGATTTTCAGATATTCCAGTTCTTCCAGAGAAATCAGATATTGATTAAATATTTAGATGTGAAGACAAGAGCAGGCTGGGTTCAAAAAATATCCACAAGAAACCTGTGTGAGCATTTGACACGCTATATTCTCTTTTGGGGTTGTCTGGTGTTTTACACTATTCTTTTCCTCTCATGGGATGATTTCTTCTTTCTGAAAAACAACAATGAAAAGAACTGCAAAAATCATTCTTCCAGCAGTGATGAAGGGAAAACAAAGGTGGCAAATGGAGAAATTTGAACAGCCCATAATATATCATAATATATGAGAAAACCATTGATCCTAGACTCCACAACTCAGAATTTCATTTGCTGTGGGTCTAGAATGACTGTGGGTAACAGATGTGGATTGCCGAAGAAAGAAGCTGTCAAAGAAATCTGTGGACTAAAATTAAAGCTTTCATATGAAGAGAAGCTTTCATGACTCTCTTTTGTCTCACAACTCTTCCCAAGGAGGTATGTTGTAGACATTGCAAGGGAGATGGTGAAGGGATGTGCATAAGGACAGAAAAATGTGGTAAGGCGAGGAGAGAGCTCCCCCTGCTCTGCCCCATGTCTCCCAGCTTCTTCATTCTGCCCACGCTCTGTGCTTTGTAACAAAGCAGCTGACTGGGTGCTCTTGTGGCCAGAAATCACATCACAGAGATTAACATAATATTGAGCAATGTGGCTACATATAGATTTTATTTCTGTAAAGCACTTCAGGACTTGTACCCCTCTGTGGGATGTTTGACAATGCTGCAGCAGAAACCTCATTAATAGCAATAGGATTTAATCTGTAAAGGTCCAAGTGCCAGGAGTAGGACATGCTGAAGTCAGTTCATCATTTTCCCCCATTCCCATACTCTGTCCTGTCAGCAAAATGCTCAGTGTTTCCCAGTAATTTGCAAATGTCTACATTAAATATATTAAAAGTGAATACTTTTTTTTTTTTTTTTGGTAGGTTGGTTGTTGTTGTCGTCCTCTCTATGATTTTCATATCTTTTGCTAACTATAGGCTAGTCTGCCATGATGGAACTGTGGAAATTAAACTGAAATATACTCAGTGTTATTTAACTGCTTAGTTTAAAGGTCATGACCAGGCCCAAATAAGATCTCTATTCACTCTTAACTGTGTGTTTGTATTTCCATTAAAAGCAATTCTTGCAGATATAAATACATACTGTAGAACGATACCATCAAATTAGATCAATGCCCTTTAACTTTATTATTGCTAAAAAGAAATAAACAAACAGAAATCTCAATATTATTTCCTTCATTAGGGTTATGGTGGCTACATTACATCGATGATTCTAAAATCCAGTGAACGGCTCTTCAAATGTGGAGCTGTGGTGGCACCAATTACAGATATGAAGTTGTATGGTGAGTATTCCCTGCCACTCTCCTGTTTGCTAGTCTCTTCAGAATCTCTTTTATTCATCTTAAATAATTGCAGGTAATGTAGCAATATCAGCTAGGTCTAAATTCACATCCTCATTCTCTACTTTAAATGAATGGCAGCTAACACTGGGACAGTTTACCAAGACATGCAACAGGTCCATTATTGGTAACACTACAGATTTTTGTCAAAATAGTTGTATTTCCCATTTCCACCAAAATTCAGTCAGGCACCCCATTTCCTTAGAACCCAATGCCTTAATCAAAAAATTTAATAAGAATGGAACTTTTAAAGTTAGTGGTAAAATTAATCAGCATATCAATCACATTGTTATTCAATCACAGGACATTTGGTTCTATATGTGAAGTATTGGGCTTATGCTAGATTGCAGACTGTCGTGCATGGGAGATAAAACCAGATTACTGTAATTCTCTGTTAGCCCCTTTTTTAATGTATTCTGTTTTTTAAATGAATGCCTTGTTTTCTACTTAATGCCTTAATTAACTTCTCCTGACCATAAGTCAGAACTGAAGCTTTTTGAAATAGACATCACAAGTTTATTTTATTTATTTATTTATTTATTTAACTTATACAGCATCAGCATTTTCAGAAAGATACCTTGGTATTCCATCAAAAGAGGAAAATACCTATCAGGTGAGTCAGCATAAACAAGTAAATTAAAATGTTAGTTTTACTTCCAAAATTTGGTTCACTCACCTACACCTTTGCGTGTGTTTGTTTACTAGGCATCCAGCGTATTACACAATCTTCATGGTTTAAAAGAAGCAAATTTACTAATAGTTCATGGGACAGCTGATAGTAAGTATTACAGATGCGATTACATTTGGGGTCAGAGGTTTTAACAGACATCCAAAGAAATATTAGGCGCACACCTAGCAAGGCCATTTTAGTTGTGTTATGCCTCTGACAGGAGTTTTGGTATTCTGTTTTAATTGTCATTTCTAACTCTAATCTGATGACACTTTTCTTTGCTGAATATTTGTACCTTTTACGTGCTGTATGTTCTAATTTGTTTAAATCTTGTGGATGACCGTCTAGCTACTGAAAAGTATTGTATGAATTATTAATTGAAAACCATACATTTTTAATGGTATTTTAAATTCATAGAGATTCTGCAACTGAGCAAAGTATTATCAGTACGTTTGGAGAAGTACAGTACCAAATGGGAAGTTAAACTTTTCAGCTAATTAATTACAAGGTAGTGCCAAAGCATCTGAAGCTGAAGCCATAGGGAACCTTTTAATAGCACCACTAGTTTTAACGGTAGCTAAAACAGATAAAAAAAAACACAGGGTAAGTTCTAGCACTTTTAATGTAATTACAAGATGTGTCAATCAAGAGAGACTTTGTAATTATGGATTTAAATTTACCTGCAGTATATTTTTCTGAATTTTCCTAATGGATGTAAGACTAGAGAATCAGCCTTGTGCTGATGAGAGCTGGGCGGTACAAGCCCCATCCGGTGTTTCTTCCCGGAGCTGGGGAGGAGGACAGAGGCAATGTACTGGGTGACCAAGCAGGCGTGAGGGTCTTGGGCTTTGCTGATTGTAAATGGCAGCAGCAATTTCTACCCCTCTGAACTCAGCGCTAGAGGGAATTGGGATTCTGATAGCTGTCTAGGCAATGCAGTGTGTTTGAGACTATGACTCTGATTGCCTGCTGCCCTTGTTTAATATCACATCCAGTGACACTGCCTAGCCCACTTGCAGCCTTAGCTCTGCAGGGGTAGGGCATGGTAATAAAGTTGCCTGTTTTTACCACACAAAGATTAAGTTACTGATATGTTGCAGAAAGTCCATTACCTGAAGAAGTATGGGCTGTAATAACCCTGTGCAAACAGTAGAAAATCCGATGTGCTTTCCCTTAACGCAATTATAAACTGTCATGATGTTCAAACAGAATGGTTTTACACACCTCTAACCTATCACAGTGTGTGTAAATCAAGGATAGAGAGAGGAGTCCTTGTGGAGTACCTGGAAGGCACAGCTTCCGCGGGACTTTCAGCTACGTCTCCAGAACCTCCTCTGTTATGTACTGCGTTGCTTCCGCTGGTTGGGCTCTGCATGTCTGACCACAGAGGTAGTCAGCTTAGATCTGATTATTACAGACACTGGATATGTTTTCAGTCAGAGTTGTTTAACAGGTAAACATTTCATATTAGCTCTGCTTTTTCTAATAATGTTCAAATGTCATTGTATTGCAGCTAAAGTCCACTTCCAGCATTCAGCAGAACTAATTAAACATCTAATAAAAGCTGGAGTTAATTACACTATGCAGGTATGTGCAGCTATGGCATCCCCTATAAACATGGCTCAACATTTAACCTCACATTGCTGTTTCTTCACTTGAAAAGGACACTCCCTACCACAGCCCACTTGTGTTACCACAATTTGCAGCTAGAATGCTGTTTCCTTACTGCTGGTATGGACATTAAGAACCATATGTTCTTTGTGTTCTTCTGAGCTCTTTCTCCTTCCTTTTCTCCATCTGTTTACCCTACAACACCTTTACAGTCCATATGCACCCTTTGTAATATTCAAATGCTACTACTTTATTCCCTTTTTACCAAAAAACCTCACAGGTCACATGAAAGTAATTTCCTCTCATTTTCAACCCTTGTGTCTATTAAATGGCAGCTAAATTACTGGAGTGCTTCTCCCCTTTCCATGGCTGTATGGAGGGTGAGGGCACTGGGAGGGACAGGCTGGGGCTAGCAGGACAGGGCATGCTGCAGGTATGCAGATTTGCATGGGGCAGAATCATAGGGTCCCAGGACAGCTGAGGTTGGAAGCCACCTCTGGAAGTCACCTTGTCCAACCCCCTGCTCAGGCAGGGCCATGGTTACATCACCTGGTGATTACCAGAGTTTAAGGTGAATGTGTGGTGAATCTTTTTGCCTCAGACCACCAAAGGTCTTGTCCTAACCTCCATGGCCTGGATTTCTTCAGCCTGCAAAATCCTGTTCAGCTTTCCTTGGGAGAAATTTCCAGTGGCATTTGACTTGAGATAAAACTGCCTATATCCACCTAGGAAGGAGATACGGTAGGCTTTAGGTAAAATAGGAAGACAGTTAAAAATATGAATTAAAAGGTTTTTACTGAACACTTAGAATCTGGGATATTAAGAGAAAAGCAGGAGGTAATTAATCCTCATTGAAGTTGATGGGATTCAAGTACCTAGACACCACTGTAAGTGCCAGCTAAGTAAACTGTTGTAAGCACAGTGACTGAGCATATAAAATTTTTCACTTCTGCAGAGCCCACTGCAGTGGTTGTTTTATCTAAGTTCCAAATTTCAAGAGAGAACAGATTTTGCTTTGAGTTTTATTAGCTTTCCTTGATACAATAAAACTAATGTTATCATCCTGTTGTCATCTAAAACATTTTGAAGATCAGAGAAGGAAAATTAGAGCCCTAAATATTTGAAAAGCCTTTGAAAAACTATTTACTCTTTTCCTTTTTCCTCTGCTAGATTTACCCGGATGAAGGTCATAACATTGCTTCTGAGAAAAGCAAATATCACCTTTACAGCACAATCCTTGGGTTTTTTAGTGCTTGTTTAAAGGAGGAGACACCAATTTTACCACAGGAACCTGAAGAGGATGAATAAGGAATCCTATTTGTGTAGTACTGAAGGGGACTTACTTTGCGGCTCAATAAAACCTTAAATAAAAGTGACTGTGAGATTGCAGATTCTGCAGAAGCTCAAGGGCAGCTAAAGGATATCACAGTGGAACAGCACATTTACAGACAATGAGCTAATAAACTGGAATTCGACTACTAAGTCCAGACATATTACCAAGGGACAAAACCTTTGCCTTTGTGGAAGGTCAACAGTTGGTTACAGTTTCCTGGAAGAACTTAGTTTTGCATAAGTGTAGGGTTAGTGCATGTTTGTTATGTTAAGCCTCACTGTTGGTTCTGTAAGTGGTTGCTCGTTTTTTAATTTAAATGCACATCTTTATTCATCTTTGCATAATGCACAACCTATCATAAGTATTATGGCCACTAATATTTTAAAAGGTGAGCTGCCATCTAACACTTTACTGTAATGTTACAATAAGTGCAATTCTTCCGCTGTCTATTACACATAAGAAACCACAGAGATAATAAAGGGCACGATATTTTCTCTAGTTTCTGCTCAAAGGGGATATATGGTCTAGTGCATCATATAACATTGATATTGAAAATGTTTTTTTCCCCCAATTTCAGCATTTACTATTATTACCATACCTACTAGTAACCAATAAGGGACTTTTTGGTAGTGTGCTCTTGGTCTTTATGTATATACCCAAGACTCCCTAAGCAGAAAGTCTTTCTGAGCTTGAAGATTTTTTTTCCAACATAATTAACAGCTGTATTTAAAATAATATCTGCAATTGAAATCTTTCCCCAGTCCAAAATGTATCTATTGTTTCCTTAAAATATGTTTGAGTTGTGTTTTGGTATTGTTTATAGTAGTTAATAGTTTGCTGGTTACACTCTAATTTTAGAATATGCTACTTTCTCACATGTAAATTAGATACATAAATATTAAATTATAGTTTCAGATAAAGAAAATTTATTAACAATGTATAATGCCATTGAGTAATACTTTACTCTTCAAATGAAGAATTATTTTGTATAGTGCATGTTCCTTTTCTTCCATCTGGTCTCCAATTTAATTCTTAAGTTCCTCAAGGTGGCCACGTAGTTGAAACTATCCATTAGTTTTTATTCCAGGGCTGCTTATTAAGTCTGTTGCAACAGGATTTAGATTCAACAGCATCTCAAAGAGGTGATATGTTTTTCATTCAAGGCAAAGGAAGATCCTGACAAGTGAAATTTTATTATTTACTCAGAGGGTGAGCCCCTCATACATACATTTATTTGCCAAGGTGAATTACAGCAATAGAAATTGAAACTATGAAATAAACAAGGCAGCCAGTTTGGGTTTGCAGAATATTAACGCTGATCACTAAAATCAAGTGCAATGTTGACTTAATTTGAGGTATCTTCCTGAAGGTATGCGAAAACTCCTGACAGACGCTGTGCAGCTTACATGAGAATAGCTGTAATTTCATCTTTCTGGGTATACTCCAAGTACTTTCCTACCCAATTAAGAGTTCATTTCTTGTAAGATTAAAAGCAAGTATTTTTTTGGAAGGTAATTTACAGTATTTAGGATGCAAAGTTCTACATATTTTATGAAGAATGGAAATTGTTTTTACCACAATGAAAAATCACCTGAAGGTTTTTATTTGTTATTTTCTTCCAGAATATTTTCTTTAACTCTTAGCATTTATTATGATGCAAATAATTTGACTGAAAGATATGGCTTTATAGAACCCTGAAAAGTCTCTTTCTTTTAATGTTTAGTATTTATCTTGTTTTATTAGCATTTTAAACTATTTTTCATTTAGTTTAATACGGTTTTAATGTGCAAGGAAATCTTGTCCCAGTGTCACCACAAAATATGACCTTGCTCTGTGGTATTTATAGCACATATTTTGAGTACCATGATAAGATCGTAAAAAAAAAGTTTCAGGCAAGTGTGCAAAAACCACATTGGGTGTACATGTGTTGAGTGTACAGCCAGGCTACGTGAGGAGGTTAATTCTTATCAACCTGCACTGGCTGTTTCACTGTGAGACAGCGTGTTCAGATTTACCACATTTCACATATATCTCCTTTAGTTATCTGCAAAAGCAAACAAGCAAGGCTTGTGTCTCAGCAATAGGGTTATGCATGCACTCAGGAAATATTTTATCTTGGATCCATGCCTTTGGCAGTATATCCCTTATCTCTGAACCCACAGCCTATCTCCTTTTTCCCCACACTGCTCTGTTTCAGGCCTCCATTCCTCACTCTTTCTACACCAGCATCTCACCTCCCATTTTGATCAATTTACCTGAATATGAAGGTGGCATGAGGACATGACTTCTGTAGAAATGTTTTTGCCAGGACTGGTATGTTTAAAAAGTATGTATTATCTGAAATGTGGGTTATCTATGTGGAAATGTGGTCTGCTTTTAATATATTTAATATTTCTCATGCTGTCCTACAAATACAATTATTTTTATATAAATGTGTATAAAAAGGCAAGCATCAGACCTAGATTAATTGGTTGTTATGAAATTTTGAAGTATGAGTTAAATTTAGGTATTGCAAAAAGTATTTGCAGAATCAGCCTCTGATTCTCTCTAGACTAAAGGATTTGGTACAAGGTGAGGTCCAGAGCTATCTTTACTCTTGCTAACCAGTTCAAATGTTTCTTCCACTGCCAGCACAACTAAATATGGTTATCTGTCAGACTCTACATACACAGCAAATAGCAGTCACTCATTAATTAGTCTAAGTGACCTATAGTATTGATCAGGAATTATTACACATTGCAGAGAAATGGCATGAAATTCATAGATTTTTCTGTAGCTTACAGTTAAGCACTGTGATGCTATTTTACGTCTGAAAAACTATTGTCTCGTTCAGCTGTCCTTACAATGTGACACTTACTACACTAGACCTACTAATCTAAAAACCTAGGGAATCAGCATATCCATTTACTGCTTACTAGAGCTTATCTCTACCTTCTTGATTTCATCTATCCTTTTTCTGCTGTAAGGACTTGCAAAATCTGTGAAAGCTGTAGGTCATATTGAAACTTCAATTATATTACAGGACCAGGATAAAGTGTATGTCAATTGGAATATATTTTCCAGATTGTTGAGTACATAAAAAGGCTGATTATTTTTAAAATCAATGTTTTAATCTTTTTGCAGCAAATACAGAAGTATTAATGACTTAATTTGATCAACATTTACTATGATTTTCTGTAACCAACTGCTTGTTGTTCCTATGTTTATGTCATATGTAGATCTACCCATGTCTGAAAATGAAGGTGATTACCTCTGTTCTCTCACCTCTGGCACTTATTTTGAGCGTGTAGTTAGTTAGATTCATTTAATTGACAAAAGGTGCCTTTAAGACAGAAGAGCTTGTATTTGATCTGAAGCCAGAGATTCTCCGTGGAAAATTGGGAGCATTGAGCGTTCACTCCTTTAATAAAATGCAGAGGATGCCAGGTGTGACCTGGTATCCCTCCTTTCAGGTCTGTTAGATGTTACTGAAGAAACTGAAGCAAAGGGAAGACTGGCCCAAAGAGACTGAACACAAGTTTCTTTTGCACAGCCTAAAAACACTTACATAGGCAAGGTGCGGTGATCCTAGCATTTTATATTTCCTTCAAGTAAGTCCTGCTGTTAAGTCAGTTGCCTCTGGGGAAGGACGAACCTCACTGGTACATCTTCTGCAAAACATCCTTCAGTACCATTAAGATCATTCCTCTCTTCCCTTTGAACGATTTCAAGAGTGCTTCTGAGGATTGGGAGCTCATGGATATGTCTAAGGAGAATCACAACTTCCAAGGTGGCTGGATCTTTGAAAAGAAAAGAAAGATTTTATTTAAACTTCTATCTGTTGCATTTCATACATGAAAGTTGAGAAGGAGCCTAGCTTCTTGGAGGTAGGTTGATGAGAAGTGGTGGTGATTCATTCACCAGGAGGTAACAAAACACGCCTCCTACAAACTCACTTCCAAAATTATGCAGTGGTAAGTAAAATAAATGCCTGTTTTCTGAAAGAAAACCAACACCTGAAAATTACAGTGCTATTAGATTAAATTACATAAATTATTTGGACAGAATTAAGAAAATTTAAACCATGTCAGTATATATAGTCCAAAGTTTCCATTAAAGTTGGAATTAGACTTATTGCCTGTATAATTAGTTTAGAAATGCAATATTCTACCTTTACATAAATCTGAATTAACAACAACAAGATTGGTTTAATGAAGACACAAATGATACATACAAGTCTTCTTAATTAAAATATCCCATAAAATGTTAAGAGCCCAATTTAAGATTTTGTGACCATATGAAACATAAAAAGGAGGAAAAAATAAATAAAAAGGCTTCTGATCAATAAAACCAGCAAAGGGATTGTAACTGTTAAGAAAATACTCAGGAAATATTTCCCTAAAGACAGCTGATGTCCAGAGGTCTTAGGTGGGAGGTAGGTAACTCTGTGGGTGGATAGTCTAGTCCTATACCCGGTGCAGAGCCCTTGCAGCTTTCTGTAGAGGAGCTGTCTGACAAAGCCTCTTGCTTTGATTCTTGCATTAGAGTCAAGGTCTTCTCTGCTAGTAAAGGAACACTGTAACAGAAATGCAATTTGATAGGCAAAGACATTTAATTGTTACATCAGGGATGAGAAAAATATTGTTAAAAATACTATGTGTTATGGTCTCCTTGCTATTCTTCTATTAGTTGAAGGTAAGGAAGGGGAGCTTTGTAAGGGCATTCAGTGGCTGACTCAAAGGTACTACAGCTGATAGACCAGCTGGGAGAAATTGCAGCTCTGGCATCACCTGTAAATGTTCTAACATAACTGAATAAAGGAAAGGGAATATATGGATTGGAAGGAAAACAAACAAACAAAAATTGTTAGTACTATAGAAGAGTTGGTTTAATAAATGGCAGTTCGTTTCTTATTTTGAATGAAGAGTAAAACAAGCTTCAAGGATTTCAACGTTTTGTGTCCAGTGGCACCTATCACCCTTTTCCTGGTACATACATGTGGTAAATGAAATAATGCATAAAATCAATTGTTAAGAAGGTTTTTGTCACCATTAGAAGGGAGGTATGTAAGTAATAGCGTGGCAAAGAGACAGTTTATTGAAATACGTTGCTCTATTAAGAGTTTTCATTCTGAAATAAAGTGCTGTGCGTACAAACAAACAAAAAAAAAAAACAAACAACAAAATCTAGTAAACTTAGAGAAAAATGTAGCAAAGGTTTGATTCAAACTGTTAACTAAAGCTGGAAATCCAGAGTATCCAGTTAGTTACAAAAATAATGATGAATTATATGGTTTCTTATGGATTTTTACTCCTGTATTTAATTTTAATTTATAACCTACAGTTCAGACAGTCACAAAACATGAATTTTTAAATATAATTCCGCACTTGAAATAGGTAGTTACAGTGAAATATTTTGTTTTGAAAAACATTGTAAATTGTTACATTTAAAGCTATTTACAATGTCAAGTTATCTGTTCTTCCTTTTTAGCTGTACTAAACCCTACATTTTTTAGGCTAATGGATTGATATATTTTTTTAATTGGAATGAAAATTGTACAGAGGGGCTTATCTGCTTCTATAAGGATTGCTTGTAGAAGTACAATGAAAATGAATGCTAGCAAAATATCAAATATTTTAGGAGGTTTTATAGAACATCTGATGAAAAATATATATTATACCAGTGAAGCTGAGGAATACAACTGAAGAAACAAGATCATTTGGCAGTGTAACCAGAATTAAGCAAGACAGAAGAAAAAGTGTTGTGGAAAATCAATTTTAGCACAATTTTCAGGCTTAAAAGGAGTACTGAGACAGAGTGTATCAGATTTTGTAGTTTTGATTTATCCTTCAGTTTGGGGTTCAAGTACTTCCTTCTGAGGTGGAAGCCAGGTTGTGGTCAGGTTTTTTTGTTTGTTTGTTTGCTTTTTCCATTTTAATTTTTGTTTTGTTTTGTTTTTCTAACAAGGATCACTCTATTCAGAAAAGCTGTGGTTACAATTTCTTGACCAAAAACCATTAAAACCCAGAATGTAAACTAAGAACTTAGCAATAACAAATAGGGAGAGCATGAGATTCAACTAATTACAATGAGTGGCACATTACTTCACAAAGAGGCCTCGCCACAGTGGGATAACAGAGCGAGGTGCTATTTAACCTGAGTGAAAAAATTGAAATCTGGCACTCAAACACCATTACGAAAAGACTATTCTATCTTGATATGATGTAGTGAGAATTGGATGAGAATGTTTAATTCATTTGGTATGCTAATGAGTATTCATTAATTATAACAGAGACCCAAATTGTGTGGCTGAGCACCAACTGCATCTGGTGTTATATAGCTGCACAACACAGCATCTGACCAGAAGACAATATGATAGTCCTCTGCTAAGGGTTGGCTTTCCTTCCCATGCTGCTAGAGCAGAAAGAGGTAGAGAGCCCCTTGCTTGGGGGAGCAGCACCCCAAATGTCCCTTTGGGAAAGTGGGGAGAGAAAAGGAACTGCATGGTTTAAAAAGACAGACTTTCCTCCTTGGGGAACAGGGGTCTTTCCAGGGAAGGCTTTTGGGTTCTTCTTGAGGCTGGAGCTTGCTCTGAAATATCCTCTCATGTCTCCATGAGGCTGTTTTGGGGCACATGGGTGACAGAGGAGCCTGAAGTGGGCTGGGGATGTGCTTAGGACTGAAGTGTGTGGGGCATTAAGTGAGAGTTGGCCTTGTGGTGCTTTTGTGTGGGTTGTCCCCCACAACCATGTGGGGTTGGTGTTTCTCTGTCCTGTTTTGTGAACCAGCCAGAGGCAGAGCTCTCTGGAAGAGCTCCTGCTTATCAAAGCGTCGATCAGTTACATTTTTGTTTTGTTTTGTTTGTTTGTTTGTTTGTTTTTCCCTCATATTTTTTCCTCATAATCAGAATTAATGCTATTTTATGTTTTCAAAATTTTTGTGTTTTGTCTGAGCCTCTAAGATACATCACAACTTTATATACATCAAAATGGTTTTGCATTTTAACTGGATCAGTGTGTGTGAAAACAAGTTGTAGCAACTTAAAATGCAATGGGTGGGGTTGTGAAACTCTACAAATGCACCCTGAAGAGCGCTATCTAGGAAATCTCTGTAAAGTAGATTTCTTCCACCCAGTATAGGAAAAAAAATAAGGCTAATTGGAAGGAGGAAGCTTCCAGTTTCCTGCAAAGAAGAAAACGAATCCCCCTTTTATGCCTAACAGGACAACATTTAAGAAGGACACAAACAAACCCAACAAAACAAAGCAAAATAATAAAAAAGCCACTCAGGAAACCTTCAAGCCTGATTTAAACAGTATTTTTATAGAGAAATATTTAGTTAAAATGAAAACATTTCTGAAAAATAATGGATTTTGTGTGTGTGTGTTTCTCATCTATAACACTTGTTTTAAGATAGGAATATAGAGAGAATAAATCCTGCTGTCAAGCTGGTCTATGACAACTCCCTACCACAAGTCTTTGGCAAAATATCAAAAAAAAAAAAATGCCTTGGTGAAGAGGAGCACTATCCTTAAATGCAAGCTGTTATAGATGTATTAATAGCAAACTCTCAGGAAGTTGTCCTCATGTGGAGTATCTAAAATGTTCAAAACCTCAAAATCCCACTTGCAGAGTAGCAAAAGAGCTACAGCTGAACTGAGCCATAACTGAACAGACGGCTCCCTGCACACACTTTAAAGACAAAACAAAGCTTTGATTGAGGTGTTTGAAAACTGTTTTTTCTTTAAACAGAACGACTAAAATTGCGACCCAGCATCACTCATCAAAAATATTTCCTGGTCTTTACTGTTCTATGATTAACTCTTAGTATTTTTATGCCTGTCAAAGATGCCCAGGATGGAAGGTAGGAAATGGACAGAGGAAGACAATCTTTTAGGTCTTGTCTTACTATCTAACATGGATGCTTTGCAGCATTGACTGCCACTCTGTGTGTTGCTGTTTGTACTCACAACTGGTGACAGTGCCAGAGACCATGCCAAAGATCTGTTACTGTCTCTTAGTTCTTAATTTTTCTCTCTGTATAACCATCATTCAGATACATTCTGGGCCTGGTGTTGAGTATGGCAGGCAATGTCTGTGCAGTGGTTTCCTCCTGTTGAGGTGAGCAGATCACTTGAATGCTGGCTGAATCTCTCCTTTCTCCTCTAGAA